CAGTCGGTTTACCTTTAATTGTGGTGTAATATTGTCCAAATCAATGGGTCGACGAACTATCAAATTAGGGATTACCTATAACTATATGTTAAACTCCATGTGCTGTACGGTTGAGAGTTATAATAAATAAAGTGCAGAGAAAATCCCACACAATCTTTGTTTTGTTATATGCATCTGACTTGAAATGAGAGAGAGAGAGAGAGAGAGAGAGAGAGAGAGAGAGAGAGAGAGAGAGAGCAAGTAGTTAATAGAGAACAGTATGTTTTGTTGTTATATTGCCTCCACTTTAAGGATTATAAGCTTTGCGTTTTTACCGCACAGTAATCTCTCTCTTTCTCTCACTCACTCACTCACTCGCTCACTAAAAATAAAAACTATTACATTATGCATATCCTTATATCATATGTTTCATAAATAATCCCTTTTAATTCAGTTCATTACAATATAAAAACAAATATACAAAAAAAAAAGTTTTTGGTGCAATAAATAATATGAAAAATTAAAGTGAAAAATTAGAGTTAGGCTTAAATATTGTTTATTACAGTAATTGTTTTGCAACAAAAAATTTCAACTAATAGTTGCAAAACTTTTTTCTACCAGACGGACAAAACAATTAAATAATAAACACAAAAAAGAGCCAATGATTCAAAAAGAGTAAAAAATATTTTTTGATGATTTACATTACTTTTAAACGTTATGTTTATTATTGCTAAAAATTTTAGTTCAGTGTTTGTGACTAAAAATCATTCAAATAAAAGTACAGTCATTGTATAAATTTCTTTCAGTTACTTTTCTTTTAAAAAAAACTTTTAAGTCATAGAGTAAACCATAGTTTCCCTGATTTTCTACACTAAAAGTTTTTTCCTCAGTCTGAAAGTCACTTCAAAGTACTTGAAAATACTGTATAATTGTAAGCCTAACTAAAGTGGCATTGCTTTACATATTTATATTTGAGAGGAATTCAATTGGTTTTTATTGATTTGAATGGTTATCCATACATAAGCAATAATATGCGGACCCGTCATTCAAATTCATAGGATAGTCACTCATACTATCCCTTGTGTTAGTCATAAATGTTAGGGCAATATATATCAGAAGTGATTGAAAGAATTTTTTCCACTGAAATACATTGAAAACATTTTTTTGCTTTATATATATAAACTGTATGTATAGTATATACAACACGGGTTTTGTGGCAATCGGTTGTAAATACCATATATACATATATTTAGTTTTTATGAGTGAATCTCTTATTAACAAACTATCAAAAAATTTGAGGCCAGATATGTATAACATTACTTAAGGATATGGATCTGACACGTCCGTCCGTTTGTGTGGTAAGACATAGAGATAGAGCACACCTGTGAATACTTCAGGTGAGAAACTTTTGGTCTCTCTCTCTCTCTCTCTCTCTCTCTCTTGTCTTATGACTTAAAAAGTTATAACTTATAAATCAAAAACAGTATAACAATTACAATACATTATAATGGGATTGGACATGTCAGGTCTATGTTATAGCTACTCAACATACATGTGCTCACAAATTATATATTTTCGAGAAACAAACTCTTAATATAATTAGTGGTTCTCTCTCTCTCTCTCTCTCTCTCTCTGCGCGAAACAAATAATTTAAAAAATATTTTATTTTTTTGTAAATACTTACTATATCTATCCATCTCACTAATAGTATAATTGCTATTTTTAAACATTTTATTGGTATTTTTCTTTATCTAAAACAAACGTATTACTGTATATACAAATTATATTAAAAGTCATTATACATATTTTTTAAATTATAAGATTTAGTTTATTATGTTTAGTATATATTTTTGCATATATTCAACAGTCATTGAATATATAACTACTTATTATATGCAACAAAAATGATTGCATGCAATTTAAAACAATATTTTATTTATTATATAATTAAATACAATGAATAAATATTGTAATTATTGAATTAAAATATACTTAAATGAGTTATCAATGGTGTGGCCCTTAAAGCGATGACAATGATATAAATTTATCCCTTTATCTAAATTGCAATAAATTTAAATATTCTTTAAATACACATATAATAAACTCATCTTTTTATTTCAAAAAAGTAAAATTAATTTTATTTTCGGGGTGTTTACAAACAATTTCAATAATTGCTAGCTTATCCCGCACTCAGAAAAACAAATTAATAATTACTATATAAATAAATATATATTTATATCTTAATGCAATTTACATTGTAATTTAAATTAAAATGAAATACAATAATATTTAATATTATTACTATTATTATAATCAAAAGTTTTTTTTATATAAACCACTTATTTTGATAACTTTATTAAGTCAGATAGATATACAGTATTATGAAAATTGGAAATTGTTATGAAACGTATATAATTTAATTGATTGATTTGATTGGAAAATATTTGTAATGTATTATATTTTTAAATTTAATATATTCAATGCTTTTGTTATTTAATTTTAATGATAAAATATCATAAAAATTTAATCCAATTTTCTTACGTTTTAACAAAAATATAATTAAAAATAAACACAAATTTTGTGTTTGGGTTTATTAAACTTTTTTTGCTTGTTATTTATGCTTTGCTTTGTGTCAAAACTATTTTGATTTTTAATTTATTTTAATTTTATGAATACACTGTCTAAATAAACAAAAATATATTTTTCTAAAACCTACTTATAATTTTATTTTTAATTCAATAACGTTTGATTAATTATTTAAACCGTATTTATACATTAATTACTTACAGTTAGTGTTATTAATTTAGATTTTTTAATTAAAAAATATAAATATTATATTAAAAAAAAAAATTATAAAATTTTATATAAACAAAATATTTAATATATGTAAGCAAAGCATTTGCAAATACAGTATTATTTTCATCATTTTTATAGTAAAAATAATGTAAATCAAGATAAAAAACAGCAATAATTTGCCAAAAATTTGTTAAATATAATGAATTACTTTATAGTATTTTTTATTATCTCTTTGAAAAAACATTTAAAATGATGTGCGAGTGATCTGACATATGAAGAGATTGAGATAAAACTCAAGAAAGACATCCAAATGCTGGCAGCGATTTAGCGCCAGACATGACATCCCATTGACTTATATATTATAACTTAGTGTTAAAACATTATATCAGAAAAAAAAGATTCACTGTTTATATTATATTATAAATACTTGAATTGAGTAATTTTATACATTGATTGTGTCATATAAAAAATGACATTATATGACATTATATTGAATGTAGTATTTTATGTGATCTGTCCATCACTTACACTATAAATATACAGTATATCCAACTACTTGGGCTAAACCACCCACTGATCTGTCATTTAGCGCTTATATAATCAGTGTCTTTGATCGCTATTCCACCAAAAATTTCATTGATATTATTCATAGATTATAATACAAAAACAAAAATTATTATTATTATGAAAACCCATTGGAAATGTCATCCAGGGATCGGGATCTTTATATTGCAATTAAGTTTGCATTATTTATCAATAATATATAACCAATAATTATTTCTTAATTATTCATTAACCAAAAATGTGTGCTTGAACATATAATTTCGAACATTTTAAATTAACATAATTTTGTTTTCTATAATATGGTCTGGCTAATTATTTTTGAAAAACTTATTTTTAAAAACTTTTTTATTTTGTTTTTTTAAAACAGTTCTGTGTGAGAGATAATGAAGCGTAAAAAGAGGGCATAATTTTGTTTTCATAGCTTGTCTTAAGGTTAGAGAGAGAGAGAGAGAGAGAGAGAGAAATTCAAAAAATTTTAAACAGTGAGACATAGAGAGACCAGTAGTTAAATGCTATATTAATTACACTTTCAGGTAAATATGTTTTATTTTGGTTAGCTATGTATGTATATGTGTCTATCTGTCTGTATATATATATATATATATATATCGTATATACAGTATGTATTGTATGTGCACCTGTGCTCTCACGTATAGCTCTCACTCACACCAATAAGCATATATGTGGCAAATACATGCCTATTAACTGGTAAGTCATACTGTCTGAGCTGAGGTAAGCCTAACTAACCAACTATTTATTCTCTGCGGCACTCAGTCTGCCGGCGAAAAATCATTTTCTCTCATATTTGTTATGTGTTTGAAAGTCTATATTTAAAATTTATATATTGATTGAGCTTTAATATAGTGTTTGACTGAAAGCACAACAACTGAAATAAGTGACGAATAGTTGATATGAGACAACAAAATCATTTGCCAGTGGATTGAATGCCGCAGAGCATGAAATTGTTGGATAGTTGTACTCTACATAAACATCACTTACCGGTATATATCACTAACCATTGATATACCAATATATAAGTTATATACATATATATCATAAATGGTCTCATATACAGTATATACCGGTTTGTCTCACTTTAAGCTACAAATTCTTGCGCTTCATTAGACAAAAACTAATATGAAAACAAAATTATGGCCTCTTTTGTAATGTTCATTATCACTGTGTCTTCAATAAACAAAAAATATATCAGTTGTTGCTTTTAAAAAATATCTCAAATATTTTTGATAAATATTATTAATTTGTTAAAATTTCAAAGCCCAACACACACACACACATAAACTATATACCGGTATATAAACTGACTTTTAAATGATTTTTTTGTTATTTATTTATTACATTATATGGACATCAAGTTTTATATATAGTTTAGAATATATATCAAAAATTTTGTGAAATGAAAAGGCATTAATTTATCCAAAAAATTATGATTCATAACAGGTTTTTGATATAAATTTTTTTAAAATCTAATATAAATAATAAAACTCTATTAATAAAATAAAAAACTTTTTATTTTATTATAAATTTACTATAAAATAAATTAATCATTAGCAACAAGAAATTATCAAAAAATAATTTGCTTAAAAGCAAAAATTCAGTCAATAGTTACAGAAAATTCATTTCATTTCAAAGAAAACTTAATATCACTTGTGTTTTGACTTAAAACGTTTGCCAGAAGTTGATTCACGGGAATCGGTCGACTCGTGTCTCAATTTGATAGGCTGTCTCCACGGCCGGTCCCGACAGCCAAACCTCAACTGTCCGGCTTCTTTACGGCCACCAAAACCGCCGCCTAAACGCCTCGGTTTCCATCCATTGAGAGTACGGCCGACCTCAAAGTCCACTAATATCCGTCGGCCATCAATCAGCTCATTGTTGGCCTTTCGGTACACCTCTTGTGCTGTACTTCTGTGTTTGAACTCAACAAATGCGTAACCTTTGGATAGTCCGGTCACTATATCTCTGACCAAACGGAGACTAACGATTGTACCGTATTGTGAAAAGTACTGTCAATTTTGTATAATTTTTTTTTTAATAATTTTACTAATAATTATTTACTTTTTTTGTTAAATAAAATTAATGTTTAAATTTATGTCAAACTTTTTTTTGTTATTGTGTTTGACATAACTTCACAATTAAATAGTTAATCCTTAAGTTATTTATGATAAAACAGTTTTAAAAAATCAATAATAAATTAATAATAATATAATCCAACATAAAAAATCAGATTATAATAAAAAAAATATATTAAAACATTTAAATTAGAGATTAAATTAAATAAATAAAAAGCAAATTAATGCACAAAAAAGTATTATAAATACTGACACGTTATTAGAGTTAATATAATATTATATAATATATACTAAATATACAGACAATTGATTTCAACCATTGATATGATTATTATATTATAAGACAAAACAAACAAAAACCTTACGAACGGTGTCCTCATCGGTGTTGTGGTCAAGTCTGGCCACAAATATGGTTCGTTGGGAATCGCTTTTAATCGATTTGTCCGCATTGTGTCGGCTCTACAATTGACGGACAAACTCAAACAATTAAGATATTTCGGTAATTAAGAAATAGTCGGTCACTTACATTGACGGCTCTGATCACCGCCCGGTCATGCGGTACAGTGTCGGTGCCATCAATGCTGGCCACTCGAATCGGATCGTAATAATCGGTGACCACTGGTGTCCATTTATGGCTCATATGTAATGTCAGTAACAGTATGTCGACCTCAACGACAAATATGTCATACAATTTGACATTTAATGAACTGATTGTCAAAACATTTGTATTTCAATGTTTGGCCCAAAAATGTGTTGACATTTGAAAATTGTTACCAAAAAAACAACAATAGTTTTCATTATATATTTATGAGTATTGATGTGACATCTGTTGTCATCAATGTCTGCACTAAACAGGGCTTTAGTTTTATTAACGGTAATTGAAAATTATCTTTTATTATATCATTTACGGTAAATATATTATAAGATTAGTAAAAATCAATGCACTCTTTTATACTGTATTTTACATTTTAAAAATAGCATAATATTTAATTCATTTAGAAATTTAGTTATTGATATAAATATACATAAATTATTATACATGAAAAACATTTTTATTTTTTTTATATAAGAAATCTATAATATCTTTTTAAATAACAAACAAAATTTTAACTTAAAAAAACAATATTACTAACAAAAATAAATTAAAACAAATTAATACAATTAATTATCATAGCTGTCTATTATTATGAATGAATTATTTTTATATTCAAAAAAACATATTAAAATTTGATAAAAATCACATAATAAAAAACTATCTTTTGTTAGTAAAACTACAGATACTATTATTTGCATAATTAAATTCATTATCAAATTTAAATAACTAAAGATTTGCGATTACAATGATATCAATTATTGACTAATTACGGTAAGTATATATTTCAAACTCATGAGTCCATAAGTACACGATTTAAATAAGAGTTAATCAATAAGTTTATTGGATCCAAACGCTTCCTGACCTGAGTCCAGGCCCTGAAATATGGATACATTTTCACAAAATCCGAGGCCTTTTCTCGATGAGCCTTAAAAACATTAATAATATTAAATAAAATAGTTTTTCTATTATTACGGAATATTATATGAAATACGGATTATTATATCGATACATACCTTTGCCCAATGAGGTCGACCGCCGGCCTCTTTCATGAGCTTTTCATAGGAATCCCAATATTGTGTATGAGAGACATCCTTACCATAAGGTCTATACATAATAATGTTTATGAATGTCGAGTCGCGACCAAATGCTGGACTCAAATATATATCATCCTCTTTAACAAAACGTATCTCAACGGGAAAGTGTACGTAAATATTTGGTGTCGTATCGATCCAGTGCTTCAAATCTAATAAAACCTTTGCGGTTTTCTCTCTTATAATTTTAAGGATAACAACAATACAATTATTTCTTGACAACAAACATAATAGTTTAAAACAATTAATAACAATATCATACCTCGGAATCGACCACTCATTTACGTGTTGTTTAAAAAGACATTCAAAATTGAAAACTTTATTACTTAAATCAATCCTTTCCTTTGGTCGTGAATACTGCAACCAAAACCATAATCTGTTGATATAAGGAACTAATGGCTGACAATAAGTGCTGAGCCAATAGGCAAACTCAAGTGTATAGTAACCAATGGCATAATTGCAGAACCAATTGACAACTTTCTGTGACTGAGAATATTTGGTGATCTCTTTATTATAAATTCTGTTATTATTACAAACTGAAACTAAGTTTGTGTGCGGAAACCATAGCATCCGAAAGTGATCACAACCGTTGACCTCATCGTCCAGATCTGGAAGTATTTCATCCAAAGTGGACGGATAGGTGTACTCGTAGAGAAGGAATGCCGGTTCACACTGTATGGTTAAGCGTACGATAATACCAATAGCACCCAAACCACACAGTGCTGACAAAAAGACATCACTGTTTTCATTTCTTGAACACTTTATTGTGTCACCCGATGTATTGATTAACTCTAAGTCTAACACATATTCAGCCAAAACACCAAATTTAGCACCAGTTCCATGTGTTCCAGTACTGATGACACCACCGATTGTTATATCAGACACTGAACCCAAACTATAAAAAATTGTCGAAAATTCATTAACCGGTAAAACACTTAACCAAATAATTATTATCTATTATATAAAAATAAGTCATACACAGGAAGTGCCAGTTTATGGGTATCGAGATATGAATTCAATTCAGTTAATGTGATTCCGGCCTCAACTTTGACGGTATTTGTGTCACAATTAATGCTCAAAACATTGTTAAACAGTCTTAAGTTAATCATATAGTCATCCGTACAACAGATATCTGATGGCGAGTGACCGCAACCAACGACACGTAACTTCTTGTTCGTGCTTTTGGCATAAAATATGATCTTAAAAATCAAATACAATATCATATCGTAAGAAAACAATTCAGTTATTGTGATATCAAACAAGACAATCAACTAATACATTGTCAACATCTACAACAAAAAGACAATCAATGGTATACTTCTCTTAATTCTTCGATATCTTTGGGAATGAAGTAAAGACTTGGTTGACATGAATAGGTTTGCGACCAATTCGTAAAATGAATATTCTTCAAGCCTTTGGCCTTTAATTCAGATAATCGGTAATTAAAAGACAAATGTTAGACAATAATATCAATAATCGGCTGACGATATGATCACTCACTTGGACACCAATGTCGGCCACTTCTTCGAGCATTTCGCTGCTCATAATTGGTCACTTCGGATGACTTGTGGATCAATTAATTGGTGATAATATTTAGTATGAAAAGTGTACTAAAACCGCAATTATCTTATCTCTCAAGTAATGGCAAACATGTGATCAAATCAATAGTCAATTCAATTGAATTGATTGAATGTCTTACGCAATGTTTATACGAAATTCAAAAATCATTGTTTTTATCATTGATTTACAACACAAATAACGGCTATATTTTGTTATGAATTTGTATTGAATTTTACTGTTAATTATACCAATAAAATAGTGACGTTTTGTTTGGTATATATACAGACAATTCAATGATTAATATTTAGTAAATCAAACGTTTAAATCATTGGATATTTTTTTGTTGATTCAAATTAAAAACAAAATATATAGTAATGTATTGAATGATAGAAACCAATGCATTGATTATTAATGTATTTATTATTGATTGAAAACAATTGATTAGAAAACAAGACATTTAATGATATTTTTGTTATTTATTTTTAAACATCAATTGGTAAGTGAAATGTCATTTGATTTTTGTTTGTTTGGTCGACACAAACACTTTGTAGATATCACTTATAAGTTGTTTGATCCCAATATTTGTTGTGCAGATGTAAACGACAAATGAAGATAATAGTGGTTTTGTCGGCCATTTTGTTGGCCCTAACGATACCGATGGCCGAGTCCGCGGACAACAATAACAAATACGACATGAATCAAGACACGAATGGTTGGGTAGATTTCGGTGATATGTTTAGCTATGATGTCAACACCAAGAGTAACAAAAACAATCGGCGAGTGTCGACAAATCAAGACTCTGATGACAGCCATTGTAAGTGTTCGGATCAGATAAAGACATCGGTGGACAACAGTGACACCAAACCTGTTAGCGATTGTGATAGCATTTTGGATAAATTGGAGATTTGTGAGAAAGACAACCGATTGCTTAACCAATTGACACAATCGTCGGCCTGTAATCAGAGGATTATGGCGTTTGTCAACAGAGCACTTCTTAAGCTTATCAATAAGTTTAAGATATATGAACAACAACTTAATGAAGACAAGTATTTAGAAATTGCAACTCAAGTCTACGATTCTAGTCTTCTTATTGTCCAAACTTTTATTAGTCAAAATCAGTTTAATTGTGAAAGAGTTGATGAACTTGAAGATGCCATTTGTCAGGTGATCGACAATTTCTATCTCATTAATCAGTCGAAGAATTCATGGTTTTATCAATTTATTGAAAACCATTGGTTGACAACTTTGCTAATACTGTCAATTTTATTGTCAATACTATTGATATATAAATTGTATTTCATGTCATTATTTGCAAAAATGATCACATTTTTTGTTATAGTCTTTATTGTCTCGTGTTTTTGGCAATACATACAACTCTATCAAACAGAACTCTCTAAACGACACTTTACTGTGTCTTCAGCGCCATTAGAGTGTCTTGAGTTGACTAACAATAAAGAAACTACAATCACATCTATTCTTAACTTATATGTTAGATCAATGACATCAATGGACAAGAAATGTCAAGACTATTATAAAGCCTTAATGGTTAATCCGTTGTTCAATATTAATCCATTAGAAGCAATCAGTCATACGATGTCAAGTGCTTTGTTTGCACCGATCACTATATTTATGGACAAATTAGGTGAAGGCTTATCAAAGTTTTATCTTTATTTCAATTATTTTGAAAAAATTTTGATTACAATTCCACTCATATTATTCATTGCATTATTTCTTCTACTATATTGTGGTTTTACCATTTATTTTCCATTTAATATGGGATCTATTTCAAGAAGTTCATCTAGAAATAGTAGATATGTGGAAACTAATAGATTTATCAGTGATTATGAACCACAGATTTCTAGATATTCACTTAATATGCCTTATAATAGTCAACCACTATCTCTGACCCGACAAACCTTAAACAATGTCAATACTATCAGTTCCGGTGACAATCGTTTTGTAACTCAAGGAATACGTCGATCAAAATCATTGACTTTTTTGTCGCGTTTATAATATAAGAGATTATTTATTCCACATTTTATTTTATTTTTGTGAAACAAATTTGTAAAATTTATATAAACTACTAAACCTATTGGCAAATGTGTTTCAACACATTTATGTGAGAATATGTGATAAATAAGTAAATCTATTGATATTATTGTCTATATAGCGGCGATGCTATTAATTACAATTATCTGGTCAACAATACGTTGCATTAAAAAGTGACCAAGGGCAATGTTGTAGATAAATTTAAACTAAATAAAATTGTAATTGGTCATTTTTAATTTATTGTATTATATGCAAGATAATTTACAGTCGACTGTTAAAATTAAAAATGATAGCCGACTGCAATTATCTGGCAAATAATACAATAAATTAAAAAATGACCAATTACAATTTTATCCAGTTTAAAATTATCTATAACATTGCCCTTGGTCATTTTAATTCAACGTATTGTAATTAATAGCAACGCCTCCGCCGCTGTTTAAGATTCTCTCTCTTTCTCTCTCTCTCTCTCTCTCTCTCTCTCTCTCTCTCTCTCTCTCTCTCTCTCTCTCTCTCTATCTCTCTCTATCTCTCTCTATCTATCTATCTATCTATCTATCTATCTATCTATCTATCTCTATAGTTACTGAATTGATTATTTTTATTATTAAATATTTATTATGACTATATATAATATAGCGGTAATCCCATTGATTTTTAAGTCAAATTTTCAGTTTTAAACACACAATATATTTATCATTGAATATTTATTTTTAAAAAATCAAATCATATTTTAATTAAATATTAGTAATAAAATGAACGTTTTGTAAAATAGTAATATTAAAGTAATCATACATTTATTTTTTTGACATTTACCGTAATTGGTTTAATTATAAAAAATACTTTTATAGATATACTGTATATTAATAATATAAATGTCAATGAATACAAAAATCTTAAATAGAAACAAAAAGTTATTTTTATAAAAAAAAATTTATTGAAAACCATGTGCTAAAAACAACAACACTATTACAATAGGCTTATGTAATAATTGTTATTTTTATCGGTACTTTATATTAATAGTTTTTGTTATTTTAAGACTAATTTACTTACAAAAAACAATATGATATTAATAATAATTCTTAACATATGATTATGAAATTTTGTTTTTAAAAATTGAATCAACACTTTGAGAGTTGTAGAGAAAATGTGATATTAATAACAATATACTAAATATATACATAAAAATGAGTCATTAAACTCCAGCCATAATGTTATGTCTAAAAATTATTTGTTTTGAATAAAAGAGAGATTTATCAATAATATGTGGGAACTTAAAAATAAAACACTTTTTGCTAACATTATTATTTTTGTATAGAAATATATAAATAATTGTGTTTATGTCAAACAGACAATTCATAAGAAAAAACAACTAGAAATTTAAGTAATGTTTCAAAAATACTGTAAAAATATATATATTTGGATGCCATGTAATTAATTGTTTGAAATAAAAATATTTGAAAGACATTTTGCTTTATAATCATCAACAATGTTAACTAACTATGTCTATTGTAACCAATTTGAACTGGAAATCTCTATTTATATTATAATTATTATTAAATTTTATGCTAAATATGTTCTCAAATTATCCAACAGATTGGAGATAATTCTGACATAAATTATATGCTTAAAGAATATTCTGTGATTTTTCGCAATAAATTATTGTAAATCATTAATGTTATTATAACTATTAGGTTTCAAACCAATATAATATATAAGTCTATTGGAAAAGTATGTCATAAAATATTACCCATCATTGCTATGATAGGGCGCTCCGTATTCCAAAAGATTCGGTAGATATGGGATTCAAAAACAAGTAGCTAATGTCGATACATACCGTATCTATAGAGTTGGGTGTTATGAATGGTTTAGCATACATTTTGGGCTTATGTATGGTATATACCTCTCCGTGACATATATGGCAGAGTGCTTGGGATATATCCTAAAAACTATGCGATTATATTACGACATGCGTCGGCATAATTCAAATAGTTTTCAATGCACTTCTCTATATATTTTTGAAGTAAATCTATTTTAAGCCATCACTCTTGTAGTTGTCTTAAGCCATGATATTTTGTAAGCCGTGGTGTAAATAAATTGGCACAGTTTAGGCACACATACACACAAACATGTGAACCCAACCACTCCCTAATAATTTTTTTAATGACAGCTTGTTTTTTAGACATTCAATGAGAGCTAAAAGAGTGATAATCAAGTTGTCGTCAATTGAAAACAATTTTAATTGAATCCGAAAGTAATAAAATACTGGTTTAATTTACCGACAGAGAGATAAAAAAAATCTTAACAAAAATAAAAACAATGGTTTAGTTTTACCTCAAAATAAATATCCGCTTTTTTAAGCAATGGTTAAGCGAGAAGAGTCGCCCCCGACTTTTATCATTAAGCCTAAGATCCAGGAGGAGGACGACGGCAATCGGCTTGTGTTTGAGTGTCAACTGATCTCAAATCCTCGACCAGAGATACAATGGTTACAAAATGAGTTTCCAGTTATTGAAGACTATCGGGTCTTCAGTAAAATCAAAGAGTTTGAACCAAACAAATACATTGTTCAGTTGGAGGTCAATGATGTTGTTGAGACAGACGCCGGCACTTACAAAGTGGTGGCCAAAAACAAAAGTGGAGAAGTGTTTGCCACAATAAATCTTAATTTTACGCGTAAGATATATATATATAATTATATATTATATATTACGATAATAAAACTTGATTTGTAATTAATTTTATTTTTATAACTATTTTTAATTTTCCTAATAATAATAATTACTGTATTTCTATAACTGTCACTACCTATACATAACTTTTCTATTTGAAAAATCTCTTAAAATTTCTTAAAATTGCAAACAAGCTTTAAATTTACTTAAAATTTATAGTTTTTATACAATTTTCTCTCTTTCTTTATTTCTCTAATGTTTCTTCTGTTTGATTATTTACAGCCGCTAACGAACCACACGAAACGTAAGTGTTATTTAATTTCAATTTTAAAATAGACTAACTTTTAGAGAAATAAATGTCATCACCAATGGGTATTAAAAATTTTTAAGCAAAATAATATATGTATAAATTATATGAATTCATATTTTTTGAATTATGTTTACAATAAAAAACCGCAAATCAAAAACCATAACATAATTTAATGTAATGTAGCGCTCGTTTCACACATGCATTTAGGTCAGGGATATTGAAGTGCTTAACAGTAGTGCTTTGCTTACGGTTTGTTTGCCAAAGATCTGTTGGGTGACCCTCTCAACCAACTCTTGGGATGTGCACTAAGAAAATCAAGAGAGAGAGAGAGAGAGAGAGAGAGCACTTGGAGTTAAAATTTATTATCTCCATTTCCCATTTATTTATTAAGAATCTTATTGTAAACAATATTTATGGCAATAATAGCGATCACTATATTTTGTAAGTCTAGACTATAATTTGAAAATAATTGTGTCAAATTGATTGTATATATAATGTAATAATAATCTAAAAAACAAAATTTGACATTTTTTATTTTGAAAATTATTAATGAAGACAATAGTGTTTGAATTGCTACTCATGAAGAAAATAATACAATACTTTGAGAATTTCAAGTATTTGTTTCTAATTATAGCTGTTTTACATAAACAACAAAAACAAAACAATGATAAAAACATTTTTTATTTACACAAATACTCTTAAGGTTTATTCAATAATCAATCATTTTCTTCTAATTAAACGAAATGATTCATAAAATATCACTCATTTATTAGCTATTGCTTTATAGTATAAATCAACAAATATTTTTATGGTGTGTTTTACTTATGAAAAATACAGTATTAACCACAAGAATATTCTCTATAAAAATATGTTTAGTTTTAAAAAATTCGCGTTTTCTCTCATTTTGTAACACACTATATGACTATATATACCCGGTTTTGTTGATGTAATACTTATTGCATAAAAATAGCAATTATTTTTGCAAAATAGTATATTTTGCTGTACTGTACGGCATATATATATATATATATATCAATAAATTTTCAACATTGCACATCACCCCGTATGCTCCAACCAAAATAGCATTATACCATACCTTATATCCATTAGTTATAGCATCCACACACACACACACACATACACACACACACTCAATCACAAACATTATTTGATGGGAACGTCATGCACTGGCATCTGCCTATTTGGTGAGCCCTGTGCTGTTGTTGAACACGACATACACACCACCTCTCATACTATGAATTGCAATCTCCGACACATACTATCCAACCACACACTCACTAAAATTGCAAATCGCTTGCATTAACTGTTTCAACGGTTCAGTTTATATTGGATTAAGACAAATGCCATTATTTTCTTTAGTGATAACTAAATAAAGTCAATCATCTATTAGTTGTCCAAAAAATTATTTATTAAGTGATTGTTTGTAGTGCTTCTATATTATCATATCATATGCCATACCATCGGATATAACCCATGTCTAAACGGTAATTAGCCTAGTTAATTTTGTTAATTTTGTTTGTTTTTTTTTTGTTTTTTCCAGGCTTTATATTATCATTGGTTTGATTTTTTAAAACTGCAAAATATTGCCAAATTAGTTATCCAAACAATAACACTCTTTATTTATGTACATTTAAATATAATAAATATTATATTGAAGTTTGTATAAGTGAAATAGTTTAAATATATAAATATATAGATATATAATATATTTGAGAAGCCATTAGCATAACTTAAATTACACTATATTTTTGAAAGCAAACACTTTTGCATTTTTTATGAAGCAATAGTTTTTTTGCTGGATTATAGTGCTATGGCTATGGATACACACCAAACATTGCTTAAATTACTTTCTAAAAATAATATATGTACTAATAATTTTCCCATTTAAAAAAAATTATGCAAATTAAATGTTAATAGTAGATTGAACCTGATGGTTTTATGGATTATAAACAAATATAATTATTCTTATTATTAACTTTTTAAAATAAATTTACATATCATAGAAATATTTGCTATTTTGATCCCTTATGAGCATTAGGTCACTGGGTATACATCGGACATAAGCACAGAAATATTTCAGTCATTTATTTAAATTTAATCTTAAAAATATATTAAACATATTTATACATAATTATTGACATTTTAAAATACATTTTAATACTTTAACATTTATTTTCATTCTCAGTTTGTTTAAAACAAAACAAAAAACAATGAGTTATTTGAGTCTTGATTTTTACAGCTATTTTAATAATTAGTTTTAATAATTGATATAAATATACACTAATGAATGCGTTCACATTTTAATTAATTGTAAACTTGTCATCATATTTTTATGTAATAAAAAAATGCTTAATAGATATTTTAATTTTTTAAAAATAATAATAACTTTGACTAACAAAATTATAACTATTTTTAATATGAATTTTAGTATAATAAATACAATAATTATAATATCAAATTGTACAATTAATTTTGTTATTCTAAAATCATTCAAAAAAGTTATATTTTATTTTTTCTGATATTATAATAATATCACTTTTTATAACTTATTAAACTTTCTAAGCATTTTGTTTAGATAATGTTATTAATTATAATTATATAGTTATATTATATAAGTTATAATAAGTATAATAATTTCACTCAAAATTTTTATCAATAAACTTTATATTAATTAGAATAGTTCGCCATTTTGTTATATTTGATTAAATAAATGTGAATTTTGTTAACTAATGTAAAATTTTTAATTTTAAACTTACAAATAACTTTATTGTTTAATCAAATAAATTCTATTTAATAAATATCACTAAAGTTTGCAAAATATTTTTCATGTGAAAAGTTTGTATAATATTATTTTTGGTGTATACATATAGTTGCAAATTAAATAAAAATTTCTTATAAACGCTATATAAAATGGTTTTATTTATAGCAACTCTTGTATTACAAGAATATATTCTTCAATAGAAATTTATAAAATATTTTGCTTAAACCAAAAGTTTTTCTAAAAACATTAAAATAAATTTTCAGCCGTTGTTTTATTTTGTTTGAATGAAATTGCAAACATAAATGACATCAAAAATGTTTTGTTGAATTTAATCCATTGATTTTCATTATGTAAAGACCAAACATTTAAATATTATGTAAATGTTGTTTTAATTTCAAATTGTATTTACATTTATAGTACAGTATATGTATATCGTATGTGTATATATATGAGTTGATTCAAAACAGGCCTAACCTTCAACATTAACAACACATTGTGCGACAATTTAATTAATGTATTGTTATTATTGTCATTAAACCCAACCAATTGTATAGACAAGTGGATGGCATCGCACCGACATTTGAGAAAAAGCCGTCCATCAGACAGGAAGATGACGGTCGGCTTCTCTATTTCGAGTGCTTTATTATTGCCGAACCCAAGCCTGAAGTCACGTGGACTCATAACGGCTCACACATCGTACAAAAGGGCAGATTCAAGGTACCGGTGCTCACATTTTTGTGTGCATCTATTTTTTCTAATACATATAAACCACTTTTTTTATATATATATATATAAAACCACAGTAATTATTTTTGTCACAAACAATTAGTATATATTCACTACATTTACAATCTATTTAAGGCATCAAACCTCAAACACCAACACTAACAGTACAATTATAACAAAATTGAAATTTCGTAACATTTGCTATTTTAAATCATTATATTTTTATATAAAAAATTTTTTAAAGTTTCAATTAGTAGTCGTTATTTGCAATTGCACCCTGGTCCCCTTGCCTCTCCCCCAATGTTATAATAGAGCCAATATGAAATATTAACTAGATCAATTTTAATGTTTTTATTATTATTGATAATTAATCGATTAAATGATACATAATTAATTTATGAATAATGATTATAGTGAAAATGTTTATAAATTTACAATAGATTATAGGATGACCAGTTCATTGTAAGATTAACCTTTAATATTTGAAATAAAGCCAAAAACAAGAGTAAAATTGTTTTTAATTTATACGATGGGATAAAATATAATGAATTTATGACAACTTTTTCAATTTTTTAAAAATATTTTGTTGTCATCACTGTCTAAGCTATTATCTGGATATTGAACTGAATTTTCAATCCAATCGCTATTTATATAAAATATTTGACTTACAGAGTATTAGAACTTTGTTTAGTATAAGTAAAATAAAGTATTTGTTTAGGATTTTTAGGAAATAATTTTTTTAACCACCAAATGCTACACTTTCTATCTCTCAATAATTTTATTGACTTAATTATATGGAGTTTACATTCAGAAATAAAGTCTCTCTTTCTCTCTCTCTCTCTCTCTCTCTTTGAGATTGAAAAATAAGTGTTCAGTTATTTTGGCTTCAAATCAAAAGTTGTATGAATCTAATTGCTTAAAAATCATTTGACACACAAGTATTTTTCAATAATTATTTATAACATACAATTCACTTATATATTTGTATGCCAAATGAAATCAGTAAAAATAACACACAAATAAATATCAGTTGTGTCATCATTTGATGCCTGATTTAAACAAATTTTACACAAATATATATATGATATATAATATACACATATATATTGGGAACGAATTGGTCGCAAACATTCACATTAAAACAACACTCGTTATTAACAGATATTATTTAGTATTTTATTTTGTTTAGTTCAATACATAATATATATGTGAAATAATTTATATAATTATTTTCAATCAATTATATTATGATTTTATTTTTTATTTGAAAAACTCGGCTGTTTTTTTTGGCTACAAAAATTTTTAAAAGCTCAACGAAAAATGATATTTTGCTAAACAAATTTTTTTTCAATTAATTTTATTTTTGTCGAAAATTCAAAATATTTTCCATTTGTTTTTTGAAGACCACACTCGAGAAGAAGGGTAAAGGTTATCACTCTGTTATGCAAATAAATGAAGTCAATGTTGAAGACGCCGGCAAATATAAAGTGATAGCCAAAAATGAACTGGGTGAAAGTAATGCTGCCATCACACTCAATTTTGACGGTAAGCACCGGTAGTTTAGCACTGGTCATACACCTACACAATATTTTAGTCAACCTCTTTAGTTAACGTTAATTATTAATATTAATAAAACAATTCATAGTATAGTAATAATTATTATTAATTATTAGTATATTCTACTAAAATTTATTAGATGATCAAATATTAATTATAGTTTAGCCAATTAAGCACTAATTTAGTAAATTAAAAAATTTTATAAGTTATTAATGGCGATAGTAACCAATTTTTAACGGTAATTATTGTGTGACCGTATAGATGACGAGGCCCCGCCCCCAATAGACGGCGCCAAACCTACATTTACCGAAAAGCCTGTGATAAAAAAATCGGACGATTGCTCACGAATTACGTTTGAGTGCCGATTAGTGGCCGACCCGAACCCAACCATACAATGGTATCTCAATAATAAAATAGTAAAAGAGGATTCCAGACATAAGTTTAGTCTATTATCTGACAAACACAACCAATTGGCCTCATTGTCCATCACTGATGTGGCCAATGGTGACGGCGGTATCTATAAGGTTGTTGCTATCAATAAACACGGCGAAGGCTACGCTACTATTAATTTGAATATAGATGAGGGAAAACTAGACGTTCCCGACGGCAAAGCGCCTCGTTTTCCCAAAAAGCCTACAATTCGTCAAAAGGGAACAACACTTATATTGGAATGCCTTCTTGAGTCCAACCCTTTCCCAGAGATAACTTGGTATTACGGAACCAGAATAATAACCAGTACTTCGCGATATAGTATTAAAAAGATGAACTCTGGAAAAGACACTTATATATTGTCATTAGAGATCTCAGACCCGACCATCGATGACGGCGGTAATTATCGATGCAATGCTGTCAACCAATTGGGAGAATCCAATGCCAACATTGCGCTCAACTTTCAAAGTAATAATATGGAAGAAGAAGAAGAGGAAGAAGAACTTCACTCAAAGACAAAACGAACCAAAAAAGAAAAGACGACTTTTGAAGAAACAAATGAAACTCGAGTCGAACAAACAGAAGTCGAAGAAACAAAAACTAAAAAGGATTCGCTTATGAAAAATGCAGAAAACAAAGAATCGATGGCAATAAAGAAGACTAGAGAAGAAATGGCTGAAGAAAAATCAGTTATCATTGAAAGCTCTAAAGAAATGGATGAAAAGATTGCCATTAAAGAAGAAAGTATTAAAAAATCAGTTGACATTAAGAAAAGCGCTGAAGAAATGAACAAAGAATCAGTTGCCGTTAAAAAGTCAACTAAAGAGGAGGAATCCATTGCTGTTAAAAACATTGTCGAAGACAAACAAAAACAATCGATTATTAAAAAAGATGTGACAGAAGAAAAAAGAAAGGATTCTATTGTTATTGAAGAACCAAAGAAAAAGTTATCACTGAAGAAATCTCGCGAAAAAACTCCACAACCGACTGATACCGGAGCGAAACAGACCACTAAAGAGGTCAAAGAAAATGAAATGGAAATCAAAAAGACGACTATAATTGATGACAAAAGAAAGGATTCCATTACTATAGAAGAACCTAAAAAACGGCTATCAATTAAAAAATCTCGAGAAAACACACCGACTCCAGCAGATAATGGGGTCAAACAAATACAAAAAGATGATCAAAGAAAGGACTCAATTACTGTTGAAGAACCGAAAAAACGACTTTCAATTAAGAAATCACGTGAAAACACGCCGACGCCGACAGATAATGGAGTCAAACAATTACAAAAAGATGAACAAAGAAAGGATTCGCTAACCATTGAAGAACCCAAAAGACGACTTTCAATTAAAAAACGCGAAAAGACGCCAACTATTGAGGAACCACCACCTGATGCGGCGAGAAAACCATCGATAGTGGGCATCAAAGAGAAACCAAAAGAATCGGTTACTAAAAATGAAACAAACGAAGAGAAGAGGAAGGACTCACTTGTTATCGAAGAACCGAAGAAAAAATTATCGATAAAAAAATCGGTTAAACGCGAGAGTATTCCTAAAGTTGAGGAACCGCCGGCTGTTACGGGCGCGACACAGCCGGCACCGGGTGCTGGTCCTAAAAAAGGTTCGGTTAATGAAAATCGGGTGCAAATTCCTATAGTTAGAGAACCATCGCCTGAACGCAAAGATTCGGTTGATAGTAGTAGTGATAGACGCGATTCACTAGTTATAGATACTCCTCCTCCCAGTCTTAGTCCTCGCGGCTCACGACGCGGTTCTATACTTATTGTTGCAGATGAAAAAGGGTTAGCAGTCGACGAGTCGGGTCAGACCAAAAAGCTACGGCCCGGAGAAATGCTTGAGGTTAGGCGCGGATCAGCTGTACTCAGGAAAGGTAGTATTGATTTGAGACGATCGTCCGCTACTGAGGTTGATGTGGCCGACAAACCGTCTTCGGCATTAAAAACAAGTGGAGACGAAGGACCGCCTGTTATTACTGACTTTATTGGTAGTGTTAGCGCAGTCGACGGCAAGACAGCTACACTACAGGCCACTGTCGAGAGTAACCCAGTCTGTAGTTTCAAGTTTTTCAAAGAAGGAACAGAGATCTTTGAAGGCGGCAGATATAAAGTGGTCACCGATGGAGACACTAATAATATTTACTTTTGCATTAGAAAAGCCAAACCTAATGACGAGGGAAAGTATACCATCACTGCTATTAACAAGTTTGGTGAAGACAGTTGTAATATCAAACTGTTTGTCAGCGGTTAGTATCATATATTGTATTCACACCAACAAAAAAAAACGATTCAATTATTGTGTTTTTGCATTTTGGAAATGTTTGATAACTTATTTTTGTTTGTTTAAACCATTGCTGCCATTGTTGCCATTGCTGCCAATGATGACCAGATGACAGTGGTATGGACTTCCGAGCCATGCTTAAGGCCAAACAGTACGCCAAATGGAAACAAGAACAGGACAATCCTGATTGGGGTAATCTTAAGGCCACTGAAGATGAAAGAAGAGCTTCACTTAAAGAGACTAAGGTTTGCAATCATTTTATATTTATCACACATTTATCACATAGTTTTTGATTATTCAATATTTAGCGTTATTTTAAACAGTTATGTTTTTATAGTATTGTATATGTGTGTGAAGTTATTTATTATAATTTTTGTTATTACAATTTTATTTATTATAAACACACAAATTATTATAAAAATTATTAATTTTTCAAAGAATGGATTCAAAAATTATATTTATCTAAATATAAACTAAATTTTAAAAGCTTTAGCTCAATGTTGTTGACACTGTATTTAATGTTTTATGTGTTGTACTAAACTTTAATTATTTTTCAAAAAAAAACTATTCAATATTTGTTTATAATTTTTGTCCTGAAATAATCTTTATAATTTATTATACGTCTATTCACTGCTAATATTTTATATGTTTTTATATGTTTAAATGTTTTATCTAAATGTATTAATATTTAAACATTTTTATGTCCTAAACAATTTAATTTTTAATGTTGAATCTGTGTTTTTAATGACTAAATGTATGGATTTTACTGGTAATACGTTTGGATATTTGGGTTACATTTTTATTTTATTTTTGGTAATAATTATTTGTCTGTAATTTTTTTTTCTTAAACAATGGGTTTGTAATAACTTTTTTTTCTTAATTACCAATACTTATTGCATTGCTTGTAATTGAATGATACAATTGCTAATTAAATGCTTTTTATAGTTTTATAGATTTATATAAGTATCAAATAGTTACAAATTCCTAATATATAGTAGAAAATAACTTAGCAATGAATCCAATAGATTTCATAAATGCTGTTAATTTAATAATTAGAAATTATTAATAGTTTACTGAATTAATCAATAGTTTTAATTAGATTTAATTAATATTAGTTCATTTGTTAGTAAATGTTAGTTAGATTATAGTAGTTTATGGCAATGTATTTATTGTCTATTAGATATAAATTAGAAATCCAATAGTTGTATCGCTAATATAATTGTTGTTCAAATCCATGGTTTGTCACAAATTGCTTAAACAATACAAATAAATGAAAAGGACGACCAATCACTACGACCTCCCAGTCCTTATGATGCAAGAAAAACATCTCTCGCAGAGTTAATACCCGATTGGCCGACACTGCAAGCGGTTAAAAGGCGTCGTGAGGTTTGATTAAACCGTGTCTTATGTGTCGTGTTTTTTCGGTACAATATATATATATATAAATTGCTGTCAATCTCACACCAAATGCATCGCTAAGTCTAATGGTTTGACGGTTTGATAAACTGATAAAATTAATGTTGTGTTGGTATCGGTATTTACAATCATTGATTGCAATCATTTTTTTAAATAATTTTTGTTGGCAGACAAAATGTGTCTTTTATGTATTGCAACTATGTGTGTAAACCTACTGATTATTTTTTAATATATTTAATGATTAATATTTGCGGTATTTGTGTCCAAATATATTGATTTTAAACAATATTAATGTTTTTAAATGTTTTTTAATATATTGACATTAAATGTTATGCATTTCAATGTTGTAATCAATTCCTATAATCCATTCTTTACAAATATTCATAAAAAATTTATTTATTTATTTTTAAATAGTTTTTTTAAAATTTTTAATTTGATTTAATGTCTAAATGAAACACAGCATGGATTGCATGACTAAATAGATATAACACTTAATTGTGTTAACAAACCACTTGTCGTACAGAAACCCGATGTCTTCATTAAACCACTACAAGACCAACACGTGAAAGAAGGCAGAGATAAAATGGTTCGCTTTGAGGCCGTGTACTCCAAGTCTGGTATTAAAGCCAAATGGTTTAAAGGACGGACTGAGCTATTTATGGGCAAAAAGTATAACATGAACAGTACCGGTGACCTACATGTGCTGGAGATTCGCGAACCGCGTGTGGACGACGCCGGACAGTATAAAGTGCAATGTTTGGAAACTTCGTGTACGGCTATGTTAGAAGTGGACAAACCGGATCCGGTCTACAAGTTTATCAAACCGTTACAGAAAAAATACGAAGAATTTACGGGACGGGAACTGGTGATGGAGTGTACGACCAATCACTATAAGGCACCCGTCAAATGGTATAAAGATGAAAGTCGACTCGAGTCCAGTGACCGATACTTAATTGAGCAGGATACTTTCGGGAAAAAAATATTAAGAATCACTTCGTGTGCCGTCAATGACAGCGGACACTATTCATGTCGTATTGAACGCACCGAAGAGATCACCAAAACAGAGATCACGTGTACTGACAAACAGTACGTATTTGTCAAACCATTGAAAAGTTTGCGGACAACAGAAAACGAAACAATTACTCTTGAATGCGAAGTGGACGACATGTATGCAAAAGTCCAATGGTTTAAGGATGGGGTGGAACTGAAGGCAATTCCCAAAAAGCTGGAAATCATATCCGATGGCCGAAAACGTAAGGTTATCATCAAAAAGGCTAAAGTGACCGATGAGGGAGAATACACCTGTACTACAAATTCTGATAAGACTATCTGTGAAACCATTGTTGAACGTATGTATTCATATGTTTTACTATTTTTATATTTATTTAATTTTAAAAATTTCCATAAAATTGAGGAATATTTTTGTTAATAATGTTTAATATATTCATGTAGTGATAATATAGTATAAAACAGTAACTTTTAATTATAGATTTTTTTATAAACTAATTTTAACGACATTTTGTGAATAAAAATTCACACGTATTGCCAGCAAATATAAATCAAATAATAAAATTATTTTTAAAAAATATTTTGAGTAAAATAACAATAATTAAGGTGACATTATTTAAATTAACATTTTTAGAATTACATGAAAATTGAATTAACAGCTGTATTGTAATTAATTATATTTTAATTTTGAATTGAAAATTTAGTTTCAATGTTTTTAAATAATAAAAACATACTGTATAAATATATACTCTACATTTTATATAATTTATGACATTTTTTAATTAAAAATATCTATTTATTATCTTTATTTCATAATTTACTGTTAACTTAAAATATTATTTATAATAATTTATTTAACTTTTAAACATAAAAAAATATTAGAAACCTAACACTTATTGTTACAAATTATAATTTATAAACAAAATATACATATTAAGTAAACATAATATTATTATTTTTATTGTTTTAACTTTTAATTGATTTTCTATTCAATAGTTAAAGCAATTTATTTTATTGTTTTAATTTATTTCTATTAAAACTAAACGATCATGGTAATTTTGTATTAGTAATAATATTTTATATTTTATAGTTTATTGATAATTACTAATTCTATACTCAATTATAAATATATTTAAATATATGATTAATGTTTGCATAACAGCGGCCAACAAATTCCGTAAGAAATTACAGGACAAGACTGTTCTCGAAAGAGAAGATTTGGTTCTCGAAGTGGAAATGCTTGAGAAGAAGGCACCCATCAAATGGTATAAGAATGGACAGGAGGTTAAACCCGATGATAGGTATATCCATAGCATTTAACTTTTAATGAATATAATACTAAACCGATTAAATAATATGTTTGTCACAGAATTTCCTTCAAATTCAATGAAGACGGCAAACAACAGCTCGTCATCACTAATGCACAGATGGATGATATCGGAGAGTATAGTGTGGTATCGGATAAGGGTATTAAATGCAGTTGTAATGTGGAAGTCAAAGAGGCAGAGAAGAAACCGGAGCTACGATTAACACAAACTGACTATCAGGCAGACGCTAACCGTCCGTTCAGTATAGAGATTCCGTACAAAGGTATGACATGATATGTGAACAGTTGACTCTATAGACAGTTATTGAAAAACTTGTTGTCTCTTACAGTTCAAGGAACCCGTACTTCTAATGTTTTACCGAAACTGATGCGTAATGGAGAGCCTGTCAGTACTAAAGATGTTGATATTGTTATAAAAGAAGACAAAATTATAATAACATTTAAGAAACCGACGCGTGAGAGCTCCGGTCCGTATGATTTCAGTTTAGGCAACAGTCAGGGCGAGTCTAAGACACCGCTTAAGTTTAACTTTGTGGACGTGCCGTCACCTCCGGAGGGACCGTTGGATGTGACCGATGTGTTCCGCGATCGCTGCAAACTGGCGTGGAATCCAACCAAAGATACTGGAGGTCTACCTCTATTGCATTATGTCGTCGAACGACAAGATTTATCAATGAGAGGCGGTTGGGTTGAAGTGGGAACCACTCCCGACTGCAATATGGATGTCACAGATTTGGCGCATAAGAAAGAGTATAAATTCCGTGTCCGTGCCGTCAACAAGAAGGGTGCGTCCGAACCATTGACTGCACCGAAAACTTATTTGGCAAAAGATCCGTACGACGAACCATCCAAACCTAAAGACGTGGAGATTGTCGACTGGGATAGAGATCACGTGGACCTCAAATGGAAAGCACCCGAAAAAGATGGCGGAGCACCCATTGAAAAATATATTGTTGAATCAAAAGATAAATTCTCAGCCGATTGGGTCACAGCACTGGAAGTGTCAGGCAATCAATTAGAAGGAAAAGTAGTTCCGCCGGCTATTAAAGAAGGCCAACAATACCAGTTCCGAGTTCGGGCCATCAATAAGGCCGGTCCTTCCGAACCCAGCGATCCGACTAAAAACTTGATAGTAAAGGCACGGTTTGTCAAACCTTTTATTATTGGTGACGATCTCAAGAATTTGGTGGTCAAGAAGGGCGCTATTATTAAGTATGATATTCAGTACGGCGGAGAACCGGCACCTGAGGTCAAGTGGGCTATCAATGGCGTGGATATCAAGCAATCGAGTCGTATATCAATTGAAAACACACCTAAAAATACATTATTACTGATAAAACAAGCCGTGAGAGCAGATTCCGGCAAATTTACATTGACTTTGACTAACGGTTCCGGCACTATATCCAAATGTGCTGATGTAGTAGTTCTCGATAAGCCTACACCTCCTGAGGGCCCACTTGTTGTTGAAGAGGTATTCGCTGAGTCGGCTAAACTCAAATGGAAACAACCAAAAGATTTGGGCGGATCTGAACTCAAGGGATACCAAATCGAGAAAATGGATGTCGACAGCGGTCGGTGGGTACCGGTTGGTGAAGTCGGACCCAATGCCAACAGTTTTAAATGTGAAGGTCTAACCAAAGGCAAGAAATATAAATTTAGAGTTAAAGCCATCAATAAAGAGGGAGAGTCTGAACCGCTAGAAACAGACGAACCCATTGTGGCGAAGAATCCATACGAAGAACCATCGAAACCAGGAAAACCAGAAGTTGTTGACTACGATAATACAAAAGTTGACCTCAAATGGACAGCGCCTGAAAAAGACGGCGGAAGACCTGTTGAGTGTTATATCGTTGAAATGAAAGACAAGTTTAGCAACGACTGGAAAGAAGTGCTTCGAACACCTGATGCCAAACCAGAAGTCTCTGTTAAGGGACTCAAAGAGAACTCATCCGTTCAGTTCAGGGTTAAGGCCGTCAATATTGCCGGTCCGGGAGAGCCCAGTGAAGCCACTGAACCACATGTTGTAAAACACAGAAACCAAAAGCCATATATTGATAGAACTAATCTGAAGAATATAACCATCAAAGCGGGTCGTTCTCACAAATATGATGTCGACATTAGAGGTGAACCGCCGCCGACTGTTGTCTGGACTTTCAGTGACGACGGCATCAAACTATCGGACGATTTGAACATTAAGATCGAGAACATTGACTATCACTCGGAACTGACTGTATCTAAAGCCACACGAAAGCAGTCGGGAAAGTATAAGATTACGGCCACCAATAGAAACGGTAGCGATTCGGTTGAAGTCGAACTCACAGTATTGGCCGCTCCTTCCAGACCTGAAGGACCTCTTGAGGTGACTGATGTTCACAAAGAAGGCTGTAAACTGAAGTGGAAGAAACCTAAAGATGACGGCGGATGTCCAGTAAAGACATACGAAGTGGAAAAGTTCGACAAAGAAACCGGTCGTTGGACTCGATGTGGAAAAACAGATAAACCAGAGATCGATGTGACGGGTCTGACGCCGGGCAAAGAATACCTGTTCCGAGTGACCGCTGTTAACGAAGAGGGAGACTCTGAACCATTGATTACATTGGAATCAATTATAGCCAAAAATCCTTACGACGAACCAACCAAACCGGGAACTCCTGAGATCGTCGACTACGACAATACAAGTGTTGAACTTAAATGGTCACCGCCTAAGAGTGACGGCGGAGCCAACATTGAGAAGTATATCATCGAAAAGAAAGACAAAAATGCACACAATTGGGAAAAAGCGGCCGAAGTTATCGGCAATGTATGCGAAGCTAAGGTAGAAGACCTTAAAGAGCGATCGGAAGTTCAGTTCCGAGTGGTGGCCATAAACAAAGCCGGACCGAGTGAACCAAGCGATGCAACTAAAATGCATTGCGTTAAACATAGACGTCTTAAACCATATATTGATCGAACAAATCTTGAGATGATTACTATAAAACGGGGTAAACAAGTGAAACTCGATGTCAACGTTAGGGGCGAACCGCCGCCGGCTATCACTTGGAAACTCATCGACAATGAAGTCAAAAGTGACGACAATTATGACATCGTTAACGTTGATTACAATACAAAGTTTACGCTCAATGATTGTCAGCGCAAACACAGCGGAAAATATAAGATAATAGCTGTGAATGAGGTCGGAAAAGATGAGGCAGAGGTCGAAATATGTGTGTTAAGTGCACCGACAAGACCTAAAGGACCGCTTAAAGTCGATAACGTGACCGCAAAAGGTTGTGATCTTCATTGGCAAAAACCAGAGGATGACGGCGGACGACCCATTCAGGGATATGTCATCGAAAAGTTGGATCCATTGACTGGCAATTGGGTGCCGTGCGGTCGTACAGACAAAGACAAGACTGATTTCCAGGTGACTGGCCTTCAGGCGGGAAAGTTCTATCAGTTTAGAGTCAAAGCCATTAACTCTGAGGGAGAGTCCGAACCTTTGTCTTCAACCGAACCGATTTTGGCTAAGAATCCGTACGAATCGGCCAACGCTCCATCAAAACCAGATATTGTGGACTGGGATGAGAAACACGTAGATCTTGTATGGAAACCACCTAAAAACGATGGAGGGGCGCCCATCACAGGCTATATTGTCGAAGTAAAAGAAAAGTTTAGTAATAACTGGGAACCAGTTGTTGAAACTAAATCATCGAAACCCGAAGCATGTGTTGCAGGTCTTATAAAAGGCAAAGAATATCAGTTCCGTATCAAAGCTGTCAATAAGGCCGGAGCCGGGGAACCGAGTGAACCAACAAATACTCATATCTGTAAAGAACGTCATTTGAAGCCAACGATTAATCGCGAAAATCTTCAGCCAATTACTATCAGAGCTGGAAATATGGCTAAACTGGACGTTGAGGTGTCGGGAGAACCGCCGCCAAAAATCGAATGGTTTTTCGCTGGAAAGCCTTTAGAGGCCGACAATAACACACGTATCGATAATCCTGACTATGAATCACATATTCAGATGAGAAATATGACGCGAAAACAGAACGGAAAGTATAAGATTGTGGCCTCTAATGAGTCCGGAAAAGATGAGGCAGAAGTCGAAATCAATGTATTGGATATTCCGTCCAAACCCGAGGGACCGCTCGATGTTAGCGATGTTCACGCAAATGGATGTACTCTAGAATGGAATCCACCCAAAGATGACGGAGGAGTTCCTCTCGAAGGATATGTCGTCGAAAAGAAAGACATTAGTTCTGGTCGATGGGTTCCAGTGGCCAAAGTACCGCCGGGACAGACATCTACAGAAGTGACCGGTTTGGACACCGGAAAGAAATACGAGTTCAGAGTTAAAGCCGTTAATCCAGAGGGAGAGTCGGAACCACTGGACACCGATCGCACAATTCTGGCTAAGAATCCGTTTGACGAACCGGGACCTCCAGGTCTACCAGTTATTGATAATTATGACAAAGATTTTGTTGAACTCAAATGGGAGGCACCCATCAGGGATGGCGGCGCACCCATTACGGGGTATATCATCGAAAAGAAAGACAAATACAGTCACGACTTTGTTCCGGCCGCAGAAATACAAGGAAATGTATGCAAAGGAAAAGTTATGGGACTTACAGAAGGAGACAAATACCAGTTCCGCGTCCGAGCCGTCAATAAGGCCGGACCGGGAGTGCCGTCCGACGCAACTCAACCTCATTTGGCTAAACCGCGTAATTTGGTGCCACGTATTGACCGAACAAATCTGATACCAATTACAGTTAAATCCGGACAAATGGTGTCCTTTGACGTCAATGTGACCGGAGAGCCGCCGCCGAAGATTACGTGGAAACATAAGGACTCGGAGTTGGCTTCGGGTGAAACATATACTATTGATAACATTGATTACAACACAAAATTCAATCTAATGAGAGCCACGAGAAAAGAGACCGGAATTTACACTATAATTGCTGAGAATGACAGCGGAAGAGATGAGGCAACCGTTGAAATCAATATTCTTGGAAAACCATCCAAACCTAACGGTCCTCTTGAAGTGAGTGATGTACACAAAGAGGGCTGTAAATTGAAATGGAAACCACCCGATGATGACGGAGGAACTCCTATTGAATGCTATGAAGTGGAGAAAATGGATGAAGAAACTGGTCGATGGGTTCCGTGCGGTAAGGCTAAGGATTGTCAGATGCAAGTGTCAAATCTGGTTCCCGGAAGAAAATATAAGTTTAGAGTCAGAGCCGTCAATAAAGAGGGCGATTCAGATGAACTCGAGACGGATCACTCAACTGTGGCTAAGAATCCGTTTGATGAGCCGTCAAAACCGGGACGACCCGAACCAACTGATTGGGACAAAGATCACGTAGACTTGCAATGGACTCCTCCCGAATCAGACGGTGGAGCGCCTATTGAGGGATATATTGTTGAGAAACGCAAGAAAGGCACTCATAAATGGCATAAAGCGAAACAAACTCATACTCCCGACACTAAGGTTACTGTTCCCGATCTGGAAGAGGGAGAAGAGTATGAGTTCCGTGTGATAGCTGTCAACAAAGCCGGTCCGAGCGAACCGAGCGAGACTTCACGCTCTGTCATCGCTAAACCTCGAAGATTAGCGCCGATTATTGACAGAACAAACTTAAAGCCAGTAATCATACGAAGCGGACAACCCGTCAAATTTGATGTCGACGTCAAGGGAGAGCCGGCGCCGACTATTCAATGGACTTTCAATGGCGAACCACTCAAGACTGATGACACACATAGCATTGAAACCGAACCAAACCATACATTATTTATGCTCTCAAAATCCAAACGCAAAGACACTGGAAGTTATACCATAACAGCTAAGAATGATTACGGAACCGATGAGGCCGTTGTCGACGTCAAAGTACTGTCCAAACCATCTAAACCTAAGGGTCCTCTCGATGTCAGTGATGTTCACGCAGAGGGCTGTCATCTTAAATGGGATAAACCTGAAGACGATGGCGGAGAACCCATTACTGCTTATGTCATCGAAAAGATGGACACCGATACTGGAAGATGGGTTCCGGTGACCACAACACGTGAACCCGAAGCAGACATCACTGGACTTATTCCAGGAAAAGAATATAAATTTAGAGTTAAAGCTGTTAACAGTGAGGGAGACTCTGAACCACTTGAGACCGATCTCGCAGTCATTGCTAAGAATCCATTCGACGAACCGGGAAAACCAGGAAAACCTAATGTCAAAGATTGGGACAAACATCACGTGGACCTGACCTGGAATGCACCCGATAGTGATGGCGGCGCTCCAATAACTTCATATATTATTGAAAAGAAAGACAAATTCAGTACTAAATGGCAAAAAGCGGCCGAAGTTATTGGCGACAAATGTGAGGCCAGAGTCGCCGATCTCATTGAGGGAATGGACTATCAATTCCGTGTGCGAGCCGTTAATAAAGCCGGTCCCGGACCGCACAGCGACTCCAGCGATAGTGTTACTACAAAACCGAGAAACTTAAAACCAAAAATAGATAATATACGTGATATAACTGTTCACGCGGGACAACCCATCAAATTTGATGTCAAAGTAATCGGTGAACCGCCGCCTAAAACACTGTGGTTTGTAAACGACAGTCCCATCAAAACGGACGGACACTTTGCAGTAGACAATGAACCGTACAAAACAAAACTTGCAGTCAATCAGTCCGAACGCAAGGATACCGGTGTTTATAAGTTGACGGCTGAGAACAGCAATGGTAGGGATGAAGTAGAAGTCCGGGTGACTGTTCTGGACGTTCCGTCGACACCGGAGGGACCGCTTGAGGTGACCGACGTTCACGCAGAGGGATGTAAACTCAAATGGAAAGAACCTAAAGATGACGGTGGAGTTCCCATTGAAGCCTATATTATTGAGAAACAGGACACACAAACGGGACGGTAGGCTTTGATTGATTTGATTAATGTTTTTTTAATTAGATCTACAAAATGATTGATTACATGTTGTTTTTGCAGTTGGGTTCCCGTGACGACCACTACACGACCCGAAGCTGTTGTTAATAACTTAGAGCCGGGAAAGGAATACAAGTTTAGAGTAAAGGCATTGAACGCTGAGGGAGAGTCACTACCATTAGAGACAGACATTGGTATTGTAGCCAAAAATCCTTACGACACACCCGGCACTCCCGGAACACCTGAAATGACTAACTATGATAAGGATCACGTGGACCTTAAATGGGATAAACCAATGAAAGACGGCGGCGCACCCATCAGTGGTTATATTATTGAAATGAAAGAAAAAGACGGCACGCGTTGGGTTAAGGGAGCCGTCATTGACGGTGATGTCACTTCTGGACGCGTACCGGATCTCATCGAAGGTCAGACATATGAGTTCCGAGTGAAGGCAGTGAACGCCGCCGGACCGGGAGAGCCGAGCTCTGCATCGAAACCCATACTCGTTAAGCCACGAAAGTTGCCGCCAAAGATTGACAGACGAAACCTAATTAATGTTACCATAAAAGCCGGTCAATCCTTCTCTTTTGATGTCAACGTTAAGGGAGAGCCGGCGCCCGACACTGTCTGGAAGATTAAGGACAGGATTGTTACGGAACGGTCAACACTTAACATACAGAATAAACCTTATAATACAAAACTGATTTGTGATAAATCAGAGCGAAAAGACACTGCTATTTATCACATCATTGCTACCAATCAGTGGGGTCAGGACGAGGCCACTGTCGAAGTGACGGTCGTCTCCAAACCGGCCAAACCTGAGGGTCCTATTGAAGTGAGTGACGTCAATAAAAAGGGATGTCATCTCAAATGGGATAAACCTAAAGACGATGGCGGAGAGCCTATTGAAGGCTATGTTATTGAGAAACTGGAGCCCGAAACGGGTGCGTGGGTTCCGGTCGCCCGATCACTCATACCTGAAGCTGATGTCACGGGTCTTACACCGGGAAAGTCATATGAATTTAGAGTCAAAGCCGTCAATAAAGAAGGAGAATCGGAACCGCTTCAGACAGACTATCCAATTGTGGCCAAAGATCCGTTCAACACTCCCGGCCAACCGGGAAGACCCGAACCAACCGATTGGAACAAAGATCGTGTGGATCTTAAATGGGAAAAACCAGACACCGATGGCGGCGCTCCCGTCACTAGTTATATCATTGAGAAGAAAGAAAAGGGATCTCCAAAGTGGGTCAAAGCGGCCGAAGTGCCCGGCGATCAAACCAAAGGAACGGCACCCTATCTGGAGGAGGGAAAGGAATATGAGTTCCGTGTTATAGCAGTCAACAAAGCCGGACCCGGAGAGCCCAGTGCTGCGTCCAAATCGATTGTAGCCAAACCCAGATTCTGTAAGTTTTCAAAACGTTTTTACAATCATATGATTAAACAAAATTACAGTTAAAATACTATAGTTTTTTGGGTTATATCACTCTATTTAATAGAATTAAACTAAAAAAATATAATTAATAAATATGTTTTTCTCCCACCAATTGAGTGATTTTACTATTTTGATTTTATATGTGCACTGGTATTATAGCTCAGGGAGATGTTTCAGAAACTAAGAGATATTTAAATTCTATTTATATTAAATTATAATTATTTTAAAAAAAAATAATTACATAGTTTTAGTTATATTAAATAGTTTTCAAGTGAATTGATTTTGATTATTAAAAAGTTTAAATTTTACTTAAAATAAATTGAGAATTATAATATAATCTATATCATAAATGTCTACCAATTTCTATCAATTATATATATTTCAAAAATAAAACATTTTATCAATTTAGTTAGATTTGCTATATTATGTTTTTTTTGTTAGATATTTACAAAAATAATAGTTTCCAATTATATTTATTAAATCAAATATTAATAATTGATAATAATGGTAACTATCATAGCGTACCTCCCTGAGCTCAAATAGGAAAAATATATCCAAAAAAACTTGTCATCTATTTTAACATTGATTTTATCTAAGACTACAGTCTAATGATTATAACGTAATATTTATTATTAATTAAATTGTTTATGTCTTCAGTGGCACCATATATTGACCGCAAGAATCTCAATAATATTACCGTAAAGGCCGGTCAGGCCATCAAGTTTGATGTGGACGTCGCGGGCGAACCGCCGCCAACTATTGTCTGGCACTTGAATGACGAACCATTGACTACCAGTGCACACATGAAAATAGATAATGAAGAATATAATACCAAACTGTCCACTCGTAACGCCACGAGAGCCGACTCCGGAAAGTATTTAATAACTGCGACCAACAGTCAGGGCAAAGATCAGGCGTCAGTCAATGTACTGGTCGTTGATGTGCCCACACCTCCTGAGGGACCCTTAGATATTAGTGAAGTGAACAGTGATACCTGTAAACTGAAGTGGAAGAAACCCAAAGATGACGGCGGACTTCCTCTCGACGGATATTTTGTCGAAAAACTCGACACAGATTCTGGTGTTTGGGTTCCGGTCGGCAAATGCAGAGAACCACAGATGGAAGTGTCGGGACTGACGCCCGGAAAACAGTATAAGTTTAGAGTATCGGCCGTTAATAAAGAAGGAATGTCTGAACCATTGGAGGCAACAGAGGCTCACGCAATGGTTAACAAACCTATCATTGATGTCGACGCTGTTCGTGACATTACAGTCAAAGCTGGACAAGACTTTTGTATTAGTGTTCCTTTCACTGCGAGTCCCAAACCGACTGCCAGTTGGGCTTACAATGGCAAAGATGTCGACTCAGTTGACACACATTTCATGCAGAAAACAACCGACAATAACGCACAGTTGGTTTGTACTAACGCTCAGAGAGGAGATACCGGAAAATTTATGGTAACTCTGAAGAATTCTCACGGTTTCGATACCATCACATGTAATGTCAAAGTACTGGACAGACCGTCTCCGCCACAAAATCTTAAGACTGAAGACAATGAGGGCGAGTCATTGACATTGAAATGGTCGCCACCTAAAGATGACGGCGGCTCTGATGTCACCAATTATGTGGTCGAGAAACGAGAGGCCGGTTCTAACACTTGGACTAAAGTTAGCAGTTATGTCAACGGAACTAATCTTAAAGTAAAACATCTGACAGTTGGCCGTAAATATGATTTCCGAGTGATGGCTGAGAATCAATACGGAACCAGTGATCCGATACAAACTGATGAACCAGTTTTGGCTAAATATCCATTCGATACGCCCGACGCTCCCGGAGTTCCCAAAGCTATTGACACGAGTGACGATTCGGTTACACTTAAGTGGACTAAACCTCGCAATGACGGCGGATCACCCATTACTGGGTATGTCCTCGAAAAGCGTAAGGTTGGCGATAAAGACTGGACTCGCAGTCACGTCGGCACTATTGCTGACCTCACTTACAAAGTTTCGGGACTTAAAAACAATGAGGAATATGAGTTCCGAGTGGCCGCACAAAATGCCGCCGGTCAGGGAGCTTTCAGTTATGCCTCCGATGCCATTATTGCTCGCCGACCGCCAACTGCACCCAAAATCGATGCCGACTTTACATTGAAAGACATTGTTGTGATGGCTGGCGAACAGTTCAGTCTTAGAGTACCATTTAGTGGTTCGCCGACACCGAAGGTTGAATGGACTGCAAACGGAACCGTTATTTTGCCGGACGATAGAGTGACCTCAGAAGTGAACGAGAGTTTCACAATTTTGCTCAACAGAAAAGCCAAACGCGAAGACAGCGGCAAATATGGCGTCAAATTGACTAACACTGAGGGAAGTGATTCATCCTTCTGTAAAGTACTGGTCGTTGACGTTCCCGGTGTACCTCAAGGACCGCTTGAAGTGAGTGATGTGACGCCTGAGACCTGCTCTTTGACGTGGAAACCACCGCTCGATGACGGGGGCAGTCCTATCACTAATTACATCATCGAAAAACAGGACCAAACAACTAAACAATGGATTAAAGTGAGCGCTTTTGTACGCAAATGTCATTACGAAGTGATTGGTTTGGAACCAAACAAAGTCTATCACTTCCGAGTAAGTGCTGAGAACCAGTACGGCGTCAGTAAACCACTTGAAACGGATCGACCCATTACTGCTAAGTTTCCGTTCAACACTCCCGACGCACCCGGAAAACCAACGATCACTGATTCCACCAAAAATACGGCGAGTCTTAGTTGGGAACGACCGTACAGTGACGGCGGTTCCAAAATACAGGGCTATTGTGTGGAATACAAGGAACCGACTGATAGTAAATGGCTTATTGGCAATGAATTTCTTGTCAAAGACACCAACTTTACAATCGGTGGACTCATTGAAGGCAAAGAGTATGAGTTCCGTATTAAAGCCAAGAACGCCGCCGGTTGGGGTAAACCGAGTCCGCCGTCGGCCACATTCAGAATGAAGGGTAAGGGAGCCGAACCATCGCCGCCGCAGAATCTTCACGTCAAGAAAGTTGGTAAAACATATGTCGACCTCAAGTGGGAACCGCCGCGAAGTGACGGCGGATCCAAAATTACTGGTTATGTTGTCGAACGTAAAGAACATAACAGCAGTTATTGGATAAAAGTTAATGAATACGGATGTCTTGATTGTGAATATACTGTTCTCAATCTGACCACTGATAATGAGTATGACTTTAGAGTCAGTGCCGTCAACAGCTCCGGTAAGAGTGAGCCGTGTCTTATGAGTACATCAGTCAAAGTACAGGAGATCACCGGCGGAGCCAAACCAGAGTTTGTACGCAAACTATTCAACAAAAACACTACTCTTAAGTCAGAGATGACACTCGAGTGTGAAGCCATAGGAAAACCGGTGCCCACAAGCAGATGGTTCCGCAACGGCAGAGAACTTCACGCCAGCGGAAGAATCAGATCAGTCGATACTGAAGAAGGAGTTTTTAAATTAATATTTTCCGAAGTCTTGGATACAGACGAAGGCGACTACACTTGTGAAGCGGTCAACGCTTTGGGCACCGATAGGTGCAGTGCTTCGGTGACTATTGCAGCGCCGCCTCAAATCATTAAGTGTCCGAATGAAGTGTATTTCCCAGAAAAAGACAACTCAAAGATCAAGATATATCTCTCGGGTTTGTCTCCATTCGATGTCTCGCTATATAAGGACGGACTCGAAGTCAAAGAATCGGATCACTTGAGGTTCACTGTATTCGACGAATATTTGATTATATTTTTCAAAGATGTCAACAAATCGGATGAAGCGAAGTATAAGATTATGGTTAAGAACGACTCCGGACAGACTGACGCTACAGTTCAGGTGTTTGTCACTGGACTGCCCGGTAAGCCAACCGGTCCTCTGGATGTCACTGATATCAACAAGAATTCGGCGACTATTTCGTGGAAACCACCGAAATATGACGGCGGATGTAAAATAACACATTATATCATTGAACGAAAAGAGACGACACATAATCAATGGGTTACGGCTACCTCTTTCTGTAAGGACACCACTTTTACGTGTCAGGGATTGAATGAGGGCGGAGAGTATCTCTTCAGAGTTATGGCCGTCAACGAGAACGGACAAAGCGAACCATTAGTCGGCGAAAATCCTATCGTTGCTAAACCACCCTATGATAAGCCGTCGGCACCGGGAGTCCCAAATGTAACCGAAATTGGCGGCGATTTTGTTAACCTTCATTGGGAAAAACCACAATCGGATGGCGGATCTAGAATTCAGGGCTATATTGTCGAGAAACGAGAGACAGGATCGGAAACCTGGCAAAGAGTTAACGTTGCGTACTGTCATTCAACACAAATCAATATAATTAATCTGATCGAAGACCGACAGTACGAGTTCAGAGTGTTTGCCGTCAACGACGCCGGACTCAGTCCTTCTTCACAGAACACCGGATCCATTAAAATCAAAGACCCGGACGCCGCCACTCCTCCAGAGTTTACTATTCCACTTAAGAAAGTGATAGCCGTCGAGAATAAGAGCACACAATTTACTTGTACTGTAACGGGTGTTCCCAAACCAACCATTACGTGGTATAAAGGAGTCCGAGAGATATATGACGGCGGAAAGTATAGTATGATTAAAGACGGCGACACTTATACACTGACCATATTTGAAGTGTTCGGTGAAGACGCCGATGAGTACGCGTGTCGTGCCGTAAATAAAGGCGGATCGCGAACTTCACGCGCAGAATTGGTCATCAAAACGGCGCCTAAGATTAACGTTCCGCCGAGGTTTAGGGATATGGCATGTTTTGAGAGGGGAGAGACCATACAAATTAAAATACCGTTTACCGGTAATCCTAAACCTAAAATCAAATGGACTAAAGATGGAGAAGAGATTGAAATCGGCGATCATTTTGATGTCGAGGTTAAGGAAAGGCACGCAATTCTAACGATACGAGAGGTATCCAAACTGGACTCCGGGCCCTACACTATGACTGCTGAGAATGAATTGGGTATTGACTCGAAAATTATTAATTTGCAAATCAGTGACTGTCCGGATCCGCCGCGATTCCCAATTGTCGAACAGGTAGGCGACGACTTCGTGACCCTCTCATGGAAGGCACCCCTTTGGGATGGGGGCTCAACCATCACTAACTATATTATTGAGAAAAGGGAACCAACAATGGATAGTTGGGTCCGATGCGGAACCACCAGGTTTTTGATGCATCAGATAACAGGACTTAACCCCAATCGCGACTATGAATTCCGAGTGTTCGCCGAAAATGTGTTCGGAAAGAGTGGACCGTCGGAAAAGACACAGAAAATAACGACCAAACCATCAGAAAAGGATAGACGACGTAAAGGTTGGCAAACGGATGACTCGGGTCGTAGAATACGTGGAAAAGGAGAAATGGTCAGCAATTATGACCAGTTTGTATCCGATTACGAAAAGACTGTTCCACACGCAGTAGATATCAAAACTTCTTCTGTTTACGACTTTTACGATATTCTTGAAGAGATAGGAACCGGTGCTTTCGGTGTTGTCCATCGGTGTCGGGAAAAGAAAACCGGACACATATTTGCCGCCAAATTTATACCAGTTTCGCATCCGTTAGAAAAGTCAATCATTCGCAAAGAGATCGATATTATGAATCAATTACATCACATGAAACTGATTCGATTGCACGACGCCTTTGAAGACGACGATGAAATGGTACTCATCTATGAGTTTATGTCTGGAGGAGAACTGTTTGAACGAATCACTGACGAGGGATACAAAATGTCTGAATCTGAAGCACAGCATTACGTCCGACAGATCATCGAAGGCGTCAAACATATGCACGAGAAGAATATAATTCATTTGGATTTAAAGCCAGAAAACATAATGTGTCAGAAAAAGAGTAGCAATCAAATCAAAATCATTGACTTTGGTTTAGCAACAAAACTGAATCCACACGAAGTGGTCAAGATATCTACGGGAACGGCAGAGTTTGCCGCTCCAGAAATTGCCGAACGAGAAGCAGTCGGTTTCTACACCGATATGTGGGCCGTCGGTGTACTCACGTATGTCTTGTTAAGCGGATTGTCTCCGTTCGCCGGCGAGAACGACATCGAAACACTCAAAAATGTCAAGTCTTGTGATTGGGATTTTGATGCCGAAAAATTCAAGAATGTCTCCGAAGAGGCCAAAGATTTTATTAAAAAATTGTTGACAAAAAATAAAGACAAACGAATGACAGCTCACGAGTGTTTGGAGCACCAGTGGCTCAAAGGAACTGATGTGCCGACCACTCCAATACCAAACCGTAACTACATTGACATTCGCGACCGAATGCGTGCCAAATACAGATCGTGGTCTTCGGCATTGTTGCCCATCGGACACATCGCTAACTATAGCTCTTTGAGAAAATTGAAAGAAGAAAAACACAAAATGCAAGAGTTTTACTTTGACAGACGGGAAGCCGTCCCGAGATTTGTTATAAAACCTTTTTCGACTTTCGTTTACGAGGGACAGGCGGCCAGATTCTCGTGTCGAGTCATTGCGTCGGCGCCGCCAACACTAAGTTGGTTCCGCGATAACAATGAATTGAAACAATCAGTCAAATTCATGAAGAGATACGAAGACAATGACTTTACATTTGTTATCAATCGGTGTAGACTTGAGGACAGAGGAGAGTATATCATTCGCGCTGAGAACCACTACGGCTTCCGAGAAGAGCCCATATTTCTCAATGTGTTACCCGTACCTAAAGACATACCTCCCGTAAAAGTGGACGAACCGGTTCGTCGCCGTCGAGAACCAACGTTACCGCTCTGGGAGGAGCCCAAGGATTGTGCGCCACATTTCACATTCCTGTTGAGGCCGCGTGTCATTCAAGTAGGCTTTGGAGTCAAGTTCTTGTGTTGCCTTAACTCCAAGCCGTGGCCAGAGATCACGTGGTATAAAGACGGTCGTGAACTCAATAAACGAGATCATACCATATCTTCAGCTGACGGCGTCTGCACTCTTACTATCACTTCAACCAAAGTAGAAGACGCCGGCAAATACACGTGTCGTGCGAACAACCATTTAGGAGAAGCTGAGACCTCTTGTAATCTCATAGTCGAAGGTTTGTACCATTAGATCGATGATATAGTTTTATTATATATATATATTAAATATAATATTTATTTATAAATATCTAAATATTTGATTATTTTACAATAACTTATTTGTTTGATTTATTTGTAGGCAAACGCCTGGTTCCTAACCATTTGCCGGCACCGGTAACAATTACCCCTCCCATGTCAAGAATACACACACCTAACCCTTATTCTTCACCCTATTCTTCATCGGACTATTACGGAGACTGACATTTGTGCGCACAGCCCGTGATTATGGCTTTTCACATACAAAGTGCAACACATAGACTATTATACAATTTTCAATAGTTTTCAAATTCATTTGATATATGTTTTAATATATATTATAAATATATTATATCAATATATAGTTCACAATTAATTAACAAATTTGTCTAAACACAGCCCTCATGGATGTCATGAGCTTTGTGTTAAAACTTAATAATTTTGCGGTTATGTCACAAATGGTCACCAATTGGTTTAAGTCCATTGATTTCTATATAGTTATAACAATTATGAAAAAATCCTATTTAACTTAATCTAATCCTCCGATTAAAACAATTAAACATCATTTACTTAGACGACTATATAAGAGTCAATGACCGACTATTATCTTATTTTCTAATTTAAACCGCATTTAAATTTTGAAATATCAATCGACTTTTCATCACTCAATTATTAATAATAATATAAAATATTTTGGAAAATAATTATTTATTATAATTACAATCTTTTTAAAAAATACTGTATTAACACAAATGTCAAACACCGATACTGTTATTGCAAAAGATATGAAAAAATTGTTAATTAGGTTTGAATATAAAAAATAATGTAACAAACAATATATTATTTACAACATATTTCTCACTGATGTATACATTAACTATTATTAATTACAATAATAACATTTAAGAAATTATAACATATTATACAATTGTTTTACTATTATTTAAATGACTTAAAATTATTATTTTGTCGACAACTTTATGGCCATCGCATCGATCGAAGGATTTCTTTGGATAACAACAACTGATTCGACAATTTGCGAGTCTTTTTGGTTTTTGACTTCAATTAGCTCTTTATTTGGCACTTCAGTTGACTCGACATTCAAATTGCATTCAAAATCAATGCAATAATCACTTGATTGCGGACTAATTGGTTGTGTATCCGACTGTCTGTCGACTTTCGCGTATCGATGGCATGAATGCCACAAATCTATTGTTTCCAAACAATTGTGACACTTAGTGATGGCAGACATCTCAAGACTGAATGGTTTGCATTGACTTAAATCAAGGCGTGATTTCCAATCGATTCCAGTTTTAAGTCTCAAACTTCTCTCTAATCGTTGTCTTCGACTGAATGTATAATAAAAGGCATTTCTTTGGTATTTTTCTCTGAGTTCGCTCTCAAAAATCTTGTGGTAAATGTCAATACATTTCCAATTATTCCAAGAATTAGTTTCATTTATAACAGCAATCATTTGATTCTTTGGGTATGAATTCAAATTAATTCGTTTGTTTGCAATCATTGAGATCTCCTTTTGTGACAATTGTTTCAATTGAAGAGTTGTCGACAAAAATCTAAACATTTTGGACGTAATATCGAAAGTCGATACAAATTTCGAGAGTCGTGTCTTTTGGCAGTGTTTTTGTTTGACTTCTTCGTCAATGGCATTCACTTTGTTTTTGTTTCCTTTGGATCGTCTCTTCTTACGAATCGCAAGTTTTTTCTTAGTTTTGACTTTGATTTCATGATTTCTGAACACATTGTCGACAATAACTCCATTTTCTCTCAAAATCTGTTCTTTATTTCCAATCACTTGATTGGTCTCTAAAACAATATTCAAACCATCGATTCTATTGATTCTTCTCAAAGGAAAACTTTGTTTCAATTGATTCAATGATTGATTGTTGAGATCTGTTGTTGGGATGAGATTCAGACATTTCATATAATCTGACGCTTCAATTGCTTTAATATCAAACTCTTTTGGTTCACTTTGTAAAGTAATTTGAGTGGACTTTTGAATCAATTGTTTGTCTTCTTTGAGATATTTATTGATTTCTGATTTCGATAGCTTTTGGACGACAACTAAAGGAAATTTGTCTTTTGCTTCACAACATTGTTTGTATGTCTTGTGGTTAACACCAAAATCATTCATATTTTAATCAAAAACTAATATATTGTTAAAATAAATTACTTTTAATATTTTACATAATATATGATAATTGAGTTTAATTATTATACTCTAATTTTAAACAAGTTTTTATTTATAATAAATATATAAATCTTATATATATATATATATATAATTTTATAATATAAATTTATAGATTGTACTTTATAATTTTTGTTTTATAACTTTAAACGTTTTTAATTTTTATGATAAGTACTGTATATAATTTATCTATTTTTTAATTATTTTTATTTTAAATGAATAAATGAATTTTAAGTTAATTATCTTTAAAGTACTATAAATACATCTGTAAAATATTGTTTTATATTAATTTGTAAAATTTTTATATTAACTTATACTTAGATTACTTATATAATAGAGTATTTAACTGATATAAAGTTTAAAATTTAAAAAAGTGAAAAAAATTCATTTAAAGTATTTAACAATAAATATAATTTGTGAAAATTTTAACAAAAAACAACACTTCAATGAAATTTCTTCATTAGTTTTATTTTCCAAATCTTATATATTCTCCGTTCACAACAAAACTATTAGAAAATTAATTTTTATACAAATATACGACAAACTAGTGATCTTTAATCGACATATTTTAATCACAAAATTTCAAAAACATATATTGAGTATTAATTGTTTATCAAATGGTATTTTTGAATAATATAATTGAATTTTTTTATAATTTTAATTTAGTTTTAAATATTTCAATAAATATTAGGCAGGAATTTATTTTCCCTTAACATAAGCTAACTTAGTGTTTGTAATTACTTCCCAAAACTTACGATATGAGTGCTCTACACATCTATAGACAATAATAGTTTACAAAAGGGTTTCCTAAAAATCTACGACTTCGGGCAACTTTCCAGTTCGACAGATAAATTCCCAAATAAAATCTCTGGAATTTTCCCGGAAATTAAGACAAATTTTTTATTTTCCCTTTCTATTCCGTTAGAAAGAAAAAATAGATATTTTTACAATAAATTATATCAAAACTTATTTTTTTTGTATAAAATTTCATTGAAATATCTATACTACTATATAATTTGGAAAAGTTTGTGTCACTCAAAACAAGTACTTTTAATGTGTGGAGCGATTATTAATAATTTTAATTTATTAAATAAAAAATAAATAAATAAAATATACTGTTTATATTACTCTATATAAATGTATAATAAATATCGCGTGAAAGCATTGTTTATTAAAGAGATAGATTTAAAGAGAGAGAGAGAGAGAGAGAGAGAGAGAGAGAGAGAGAGAGAGAGAGAGAGAGAGAGAGAGAGAGAGAGAGAGATTGTTGAACGTGTGCTGAGCTAACTATTGATACACATTTATTACGTGGATATCTATTTAAAAATAAATTTAATTTCAATGAATTTAATAATACTATTTAACAATAAGACTCAAAATATAGTTTTAATACATTTGTTATTCAAATCTTATAATAGAATTTGTTGTTCAATAGATGGCAACACAAGGATAGAGATTCCCTGAGAGACGGGAATATAAGGAACTTTTGGAAAATAAAACCAATGAAATTATCCGAACCCTAACTATTACCAAATATATATATATATATTAATAAAATAAGTATTGACTATAAATTTTAATATTTTCAAACAATTACAAGTAATTATTTCATTCGTTATATATTTATTTTAAATAATAATCAAATATTTTTTATTTGTTTCTTTAGTTGGGTTAGTTTGAGGTGGGGGTGGTGTAGGTGTGGGTGTGAGTGGGAGGGTTTTATTAAATATAACACTTACTAATCATGATATCAAAGTATATAATAATATTAAACTAATTGTTAATAATTTATTGAATTGTCATCTAATGATCACTCATAAGATGTGTAATAAGCGGATAGTTATTTGTTTTTACAATTTCTATATAATTATTACAATAATTGAGTCAATCGGACAACAATTAACCGTCGAATTACAAGAACAACAAACGCTAACAATTGTCAGTAAATTGAATGTCAAATAAAATGTTAATTAGTTGTGACTTACGTTTCAAAAAGTTTTCGGCAAAATGTCAGTCAAACAGAAACACAAAATGTTATTAAAACAAATAAAACACAATAAATGTATTTCATATAAAATTCAATGATATTTATATATGTTTTTAGCGTTTGCGCAGTCATTATATGTTGACTCAACAAGTGGTCTAACCATACATAACGTCACACAATAGTAATGCAAACATTTCAATAACAAACTAAACAATTGTAAACGTAATGTTTGTTTTATAAAGTAATTAAATGTATAATACATTATGAAATGCATTAGTGTTTCAACTTTTGGATATAATTTAAAGTATGAGTTGTGATTATACCCTCTATTAGATTTCAACTTAACTAATGTGTTAACACTACTAAAGCTACATATTGTTAAAAATATACAGTAAATCCACAGTATAGCATACAGTTAAGTGAAAACTAATTGGTCAATAATAAGCACTTAATAGTTTATTAATTGTGTATATAATTAATTATTTAGAAATTATTAATTATGGTGTAATACCATTAAAATTTAGGTTTAGGTTGCGGGGCGTACACCAGGTTAGGTAACTTTAGGTAACACTAATTTACTATTGATACTATTGCTTACTTTCTATGTATATGTTATACTGTACACAGGGTAGTTTTAGTTAAACTAAAATCCAATAGAGGGGGTACACAGCTCCTACTCTAAATTTTACCCGTCACGTGACATATCATTTCATTTACAATTTAAACTATTTGTGATTAAATTCAACCGATTTATACACTATTAATGCTAGAGAGAGACACATAACGTCATAACAATAGTTATAATAAAAATAGTAAACATATTAAACAAAATGAGACACAAAATACAAACACAATTACATTTAATGCAAATATTTTATATAAATAAAAATCGGTAAAAGTAGTAGTCGTTTAGCTTTCACAGCGTTTTGTCGTATATTTTATGATTAATAAAATCATTTACTTTCGTATAAAAACGTGTACTTATTTCGTATACTTTACCTGAATTGTTGGCCACTGGACTCAAATTAATAATTAATAAAACACACAATTATTAAACTATTAAGTCCTAGTTATTGACTAATTAATACTTTCACTTAATTATAAGCTTTACTGTAGATGTACTGTATATTTATAACAATGTTTAACATTAGTTATGTTGTAATCTAATAGAGAGTGCAATCACTTATAATACTTTATATTATATCCTAAAATTGTTTGATAATATATTTAATACAAAAACCAGTTAATAATAATTACTAGGATTGCCAGATAAATCCATAACAAAATTTTGTTTACATATAATTTTTTTTTTGATGAGAAATCAGATTGTATTAGAGTTAATGTTGACCCTGGTCATATTAATTTTTAGAAACATCAAAATATATGGTCGATATTTCTAAAATATTTAATAAAATATGTCTCAAAATATATGAAAATGTTCTTAAATTCTTAAAAATTCTGTTATAATTAAACAAAATTTGTAAATATTTTTATAGTATATTAACAATTAATTTTGAAACATTGTTTGTATTAAAATAACCACAATATAGTATATAAAATTAATTTTTTTATATTAATATTTAAATATATATTTTTTGTAACGGATAGTTAGTATTGACAACAAGTTTAGGTTATTTTTAGTGTAATATTTGTAGTCATAATTAAAATATTACTATATATTACTTTATATAAGTTTTGGTATTTTTCATAATAGTTTTGAATATATTTTTGTATATTAAGTGTTTAGTTCCGCTTATTGTGTGAGTGTTTGGTTCCGACAGTTGGGTTACCGTTCGGCCAAAACTCAGTGTTTCCCAATTATTCTGAGTTACGCTTACACTACAAACGGGCAGACCTTCCCTTTGGCCATACGGTTGACATCGGGAGTAAACCGACCCGTTTTAGTTTCATCATATAATTTATGACATAATGTTTTAATTAATCTTAAATCGTTGTTCTTAAAGATTTTTTTTTTGCAAATATTTGCTAATTTAATAATTTTGTATAAAAATGAATGTTTTATACATTTTTAAAATTATATATTTATATTTTTAAATGTAGTAATATTTGGAAATGTGTTTTGAAAATTTGTCAAAAGAATCCATATTATATGATTCGGATAGATATCGATTCCCCTATTAATATGTTTAACCGCAAAAATATGTGTTTCACATATTTTTGATGTCTCTATTAATCATATAATATACAAATAGGGTTTGTAATGATTCCGTCCCTCATCTTATTATCCAAAAGTTTCCTATTTTCCCTACCATTTATTAGGGAATCTATTACCTTATGTTACCACATATTAAGCCCTAAACAACACATTCTATTATAATGTTTAAAAAACAAATATTATATTAAACTTTATTTTTGAGTAATATTGATGAATAATATCATAAATTTATTGATTTGAAATTAATTTTTGAATATTTAAATGAAATTTTATTCAAAATATTTAAATTTTGGTACTATTTATTCTAATATTTTTCATTCTAACGAGCATTCATTCGAAAAGTATTTTTCATATTTTCCGGGAAAATTGGAGGGAATTTATAAGGGAACTTCCCTTCCTTGGTAATCATTATAAACTCTAATAACAACAAATTTTATAACAAAATATTAGTGAAACACAATTGTATTTTGTAATTACTTCGACAAATTTATATCAAAATACAAATAAGATAAACAAATTATTTAATTTGCTAAAGTAGTTTGTATGTGTATTTAATTTTATAAATTTTATTTCATAAATTATTATAAAAAATATTTATCATAATTATAATGTTGATCACTGATTGTGACAAACATATTATAAACAAAGTTTATTTGTAGTTAATGTTATAAATTATAGGCTATAATATTTTATAGCAAATTATAATAATTTCTAACTTTTTTTCAAGTTTAAGCTCTTATAATCTGAATTATCACTTAAGTTATAATTTAATTATTTTTCTTAAATTTGTTACTTAAAATTAATTTTATTAAATAGAGTAAATAAAAATGATATCATAAAATTTATCAATTTATAAACATTATAATCACAACTTAAAGCATTATAATGGCTTTGATTTTTTAAAAATTGCTAATATTGATTATACAGTAAAATATTTTTATGTAATGTATTATATTATTAGTTTTTTTTTTAATATAACATTAGTGTTATAAATAATAATCTATAAAATTAATATTTTTATTATAAAACAAATTTGAGGCTTACAATAAATAAAATGAGGATGAACAATTTTAATTTTACAATTTTTATATATGTGTGTAAAAGTTTATGTTTTTGAAAATAAATGGTTTGCCATAGAAACAGATACTCAGATACAGAGAAAAACATCGATAACTATACAAATAGAGTATTGTTTTATTCATAATGTTTTTTATGCTAATACATGATATAATAGTTACCAATAAAATAAAATTATATATATATTGTATATATCTTAATACAAAACGTTACTCATTGCTTAATGTCAATAATTGTATTAACTTTGTATTTACATTAATTTACTGTAGTATTAAATGTTGAAAGTATAGTAAAGTTTAGTTTTATAATAATGTTTAATTCAAAGTAATATCATTTTATTTATATAAATTAATTGTTTTAAAACATAGTTTCTATAATTCAATTCTTAAGCATAAATTATTATTTTTAAAATAAAATTATATTTACAATATTATATGTGACAAAAAATTATTATCAATTGTATGGACAGTCATCTGAGTAATGGGTTGTCTTAATTCAAAAGACAAGCCCCCGGTTGTTGTCGACGATGATAATGTAAATCACTATTCATGGTATTATAAGTTTATTATAATTTTATTTTTTAACAAAAAATATTTTTATAACGCTTTATTAAATGAAATGAAATATTATTTTATGAAATTTTATATTAAAATTGTTATATAGTGTCATTTATTCAATTATATTAATTATATTTGATATACATTTTCAAAAAACATTAGGTCAGACAAAAGCAAAGTAAACCCAAAGGACTATACGATAGAAAATGGCAAATATGAGACATTTATTAGGAAACCGGGAGATATAGTCGGACAACAATTTATTATTGAAAACTGCGAGTTCACTAATATTGCACTTTTTGATTATATTAATACCATTACTATTGATGAATGCAATAATTGCACAATTTTTATTGGACCAACTATTGGCAGGTAATTCAAAAAAAAAGTTAAATTAAATTTACTACTAATTTTAGTTACTACAGTATATTAATTACTATCGTATTAGCATATTATTAGTTGCATTTATTATTATAATGATATCGTAATATTATTATTGCATTAAAATAATTTTTCAGATTATGAAAATTATATGTCAAGAATATTAATTAATGTACTTATATTTAGTAACAATATTTTATTATAAAACTAATCGATTTAATTGTTTTATAAAAAGTATGATAATAATTAATCTGTATATTCATACAGTATATTTAGTAATAATTTAAATTATTTTCTATATAAAATGATAATCATTTGATATAATATTATAATTATATATTTATATATAATATTAGTACAGTATTTATATAACATATTGTATAGTATTTATTATATTTATATACTATAATAATAGAATCATTGGTTTGAGACAAATTACAATACAATCATTATATACATAATATTCTTAGCATAAAAATTTCAAATATACAATAATTTGTTTTATTTCATTATTTATTATAAGAAATAATAATATAAGATTTTTTTTATAGATTATAGTTTTTTATAACATTTACTAAATGATATGAGATGTTGGCAAATATTTATTAAATTGACAAACCATTAATGAATTGATTAAATTTATTATTATAGTGTTGTCCTACGAAACTGTGTCAGTTGTCACATAATGTGTTGCGCCCAACAATTCCGGTCTCGGGATTGTAAAAATATTGATATTTTCCTCTACTGTGCCACACAACCGGCCATCGAGTCCTGCTATGATCTCACGTTTGGCTGCTTTTCGGCAAATTATAAAGGATTAGAAGGTTATTAAACGATAACTATATTTGGATGTAAACCTCAAAATTTATATAAAATATATGATTTCAATTGTAGATCAATTTAAAAAAGCAAATCTAAGTGTTTTAAATAACAATTGGACTAATATTTATGATTTTACTCTTAACGACGGCGAACAACACTGGAGTTTATTTGCAAATGTAATTTCATTATAATTTTAGATAAAAAGTAATTTATTTTATAAGATTTGAATTGATTTTACATTTTTATTGTTTACGTAATAGTCTGTAAAAGCTGAAGACTATTTCTCTGGAATACCCAATGATAATGATATTGACTTATCATTCAATTCTACCGCAAGTATTGTCCCCAAAACAGTTGGTCCAATGCCCACCACATTAGGTATTAGCGGTGAACTTTGTCTTGCGGTCATTATAGCCGGAGAACAGACTTTAAAGACTGCCATCTCTTTAATCAATGACATGAAAAATGAATCAGAGGTTTAATTAATTAAAAAATAAATTATAATTCATTAGTTAAAAATGCTTTTTATATAATAATTTTAGATATATTTGCTGAAAACCAAAGAATTCAATGCCATTACCACAGAATCTCAACTCATGTTTGATGTCGAACCCAATCAAGTGATTGTCGCTCTTCTATATAAAGGTCTCGATTGTATTAAAAGGAGGTATAAATAGATTATAATTAAAGAGTTTGATTATATAATATTTTTTATTTATTATTTATTTCAGTCAATACATTAAATATATTTTAATAATTTATATTTCAGTCAAAATATTGGTAAAGGATATTCTGGTGTTATGTTTATCACTGATTTGATGACAATTTATAAACAAATGTCTGTCATCTTTAATACTAATAATTAAATTTTATAATATATATAAATTGAATAGTATTTTAGATGCATTTGACCTAATTTTTACATAAAATAAAAATTATAAATATTTGTTTTATATATAATATAATAAGCAATCATAATTTTTTATTGATAGTAGCGTACATTGTCCATAATAATTTATTTATACCTGCAATTAAATTTATAATATAAGGCAATTTAATCAATCTATTGCCTATAATACCATTGTCCATATAATCAAATTATAAATAACAAAAATCTATTAATAAAATTATTGTCAGGTTCATTACTATTTAGATTGTAAATTAAATTAAACAATTTTAAATGGCAATCATAAAATTTATATAATTTGTAACATAATTTTGATGCCAATTGACTAAACGTAAATTAAGTGTATAATTAGAGTACAATAAATGTATAATTAATTTCTATTAAAAAAATGATAATTCAAACAATTGATGCAAAGTCTATGAATCCATTGTAAACTTTGATCGCCAATTAAATCATTACTAATACAAAAGTGCACTTAACATATGATTTAGTCTTAGATATAATAAATATTTATATCATTATTGACTAATCTTTGCCAAAATGTCTTTGTCTTATAGTCATCACATCATAACTGACCGCACATTCATTATAAAAATTAAATAAATAAATAAAATCTTTGAAAAAATTAAACAACAAAACAACAGAAGATGGGATAATTATTGTGTTTCCATATAAAGTAATTTATTTATAGTTAAATTAATAACTTTATCAACAAAAAAAAAACGTGAATATAAGGTATTTTTGAAGCAACAATCATATTATCATTAAATGATAAAAATAATTATTTCAGTTCAACAATTTAATTAATTGGTCGTGAAATATACATGTATTATATAATAATAATATATCTTTTATGTTTATGATAGTTATTGACAATAAGCCAATAATTTATATTTTATAATAATTCATTATGAACTTTAAATTATTTACAACAATTATGATATTAATTTGTAAAATTGATGATAAACAATATGATAAATAATTGTTATCTCATTAGATGGAGTAATAGATTATTATTGGCAAAGATATTGGAGTTTTTTTTTGATTATCATTACAAAGAAAACAATCATTTGTAACAAATTTATAATAAACGAAATAAAGACAAAATTAAACGATAGATAAAACAGCTCTAAAAAACATTCAAGAAATAAGTTGTGACAGTAATAGTCATGTCATGCGAGAGACAAATATCAGTAAAGAGAAAGAGAGAGATCTCAAGTGATTTCAGGTATTATCTTAACTGTCATTTGGTTGTTCAGCAGATGCTTCAAACACCTCATCATTGTTACTGTGGTCCCCATTTCGTTGATCTTCTGAATCGATATTGTCGTTATCATCAGCTGACTCTTGTGGCTGTTGTGATGATGACTGTTGTGTGTCATTGTCGTCGTCGTCATCCTCTTCTTCTAGCAATTTTCGGGCCAACTTCACGGCCTGAAACTCATTATAATGTGCTTTGCGTTTGAACTCAAACTCGCGCCTCTTTTTCTTCTCCTCTTCGGTTAGATTTTCGAAATCGTCTTCTTCTTCTTCTTCTTCATCCGACGAACTTTTCATAACTGTCGGCAATTCATCACTTCTTTTAGCAATACTATCGGCCAACGCTTCGGCGTCTAACACATGCTCACCATCGGTGGTATCGCTATAGTAATTATACGGTGTCTTTGGCTCCTCGATCTTCATATGACCGTAATCTTTGTCCGGTGGATGTAATGTCTGTAAAATATTGATTTCATCCCATTTGATGTCCTTATCAGCCGAGTTATCGCTAAAAATAAAATCAATTATCACATTAATCACTGATTATCATCATATGGTCACTGAAGACATACTGTTTGTGTTGTGTTTGGCATTCGTTTTGCTGTTCAAAACTCGACGAAGACTTCAATATTCCTTTCGATGGCTTCTTCTGAAGGTTTTCCATAACTATTTGCTCTTCAATTGGTCTCTTCAGTGATATATCAATTGTAATCAAATGATTATTAAATGTGTGATTGTTTTCAATCAATTTGTGTTTTTTTTGTCAAATTAATCGATATATTGATTGACTAATTGTTTGTCCAATTGATACAAACGTATAACTGTTTTATTAATACAATAATATGTAATCACTTTATTATATGTTAAACGTTTAGTCAATAATATAACACTCAAAATGCATTAGAAATCAAAAATAAAATTATTGTCAATGTTTTCGCTTACAATTCAAATGCATTACAAAAAACAAATGTTCACATAAAGTGTTACAAAACTAATTACATTAAATGTATAATACATTTGTGTTTTGTTAATCATTTATAACAACGTAACCTATTTTTACCATTTATTTTCCCATTTTTTCTAATACAGTAAACAAATATCAGAATATATTTCACAGTAATTTATATGTCATTTAATAAACTTGTAATTATATTGTTATCATATTAATAATTTATTTATTAGTCATATATTTATTGTTATGTTTATCTACAGTATTATTTAATTAAAAATGTATTTTTATAATATATTCATTATATAGTATATATTAATTATAGTAGTGTTTGATAAATAATAATTAAAAAAAAACAGATAACCGGATAAAATGCCAAATAAATTCTTCAACAAAAAAAACTAAAACCAAGTTTTATTTAGTGATATAAATATGATACTGTAGTTTAAAAATAAACACAAATATATAATTGTTATAAATAAATGGCATTTACAAATAATAGATATTTGAACAGATTATATACTACTTATATATATAATATATATATATACTAAATATTTAATCAATTGGCAACTTTCAGTATACATGACATATTGTAGACAATAAAAAACAGAATATTACTCCTAAATAATTATATATCATTTCAATAAAAATATTTTTATTATGTATTTCATTTAAATACATTGACTATTTTTTAGACTCTATAAGAGTCGTTATTTTTTTAATGAATTAATATTAATTTATAAATATATCATAATAGTTATATATATACAAAAACTTAATTAAAAATATTTTTAAATTAGTTATGTCTTCGAGTGACAAGTGGTTTGCCGTCGCCTTTAAACGCTTCAAAGTCGCTCTTCTTATCATTTGTTTGATCGGTCTTTACCGTCGGTTTTGTGGTGCGAATGAAGCGAACAATTCCTAGTTTGTAGTCGTAGTCAGGTATACCTCTTCGTTGACTTCGCGCAACAGTCTTACCATTTGTTGTCTCATTTGGTGACAATTCTTTATTTTTGCCGTCCAATCGATGGCCTTTACAGACAAACGGCAGAAACGATGTCTGTGTATCGGTACTCATGTCTTCACTTTCTGAAACCTCTCCAATATTTTCATCGTCTTCAGTGATATGATTGTTTCCCAAACGCTGCGGCTCTTTATAGCCAACGGGCGCCGCAAACTCGACATTCATATCACATTCAATAATACTAACGGCTGATCCGGGTTTAGTCTCAAGAACGCAGAGCTCGTAAACCTTATCGTTATAGTTAATGGCAATGACATCACCGGTGGTCAGACACGCAAAGTTACGTAAGGCGTTCTCGAGGACAGCCTTTTGGTTATGAATGTCAAGAAAGTCGGGCGCTTGCGGTTGGAATTTGGAAAACGTGGCCACAGGTAGAGACGCGCTCTCCACCTGAACCATTGATCCTTCCTCGAGATACAGGTTCTTCATCATCCAATACGGCAGGAATACCTTTCCCTCGTCGGCCACAAACTCAAGTACACCGCAGTGTGTGAAACGATTGTGACGACAATTTGTCAGTCGGAAGAGCATCGGGTAGACAATATTAAGTCGGGTGAGTGTGTCCAACGCCGACGGTGGCATTATTATCTTTCCTCCCTTCTCGATGTCCGATCGCTCGGTGCCAGACATGGCCACCGAATAACATCGGTACAGGTTATTGAACGGACGGAACTGCTCTTGAAATAAGCCAAAACCACCAAACATTTTGATCCAATTCCGAGTGACCACTGGTTCGGGACAATCGATACACTAATTAATCAAAAGTCAATTTCAAACACAAAGTATAATTCAAATGTTGTTTTCAATCAATTATTAACTCAATTGTCAACAAAACCATTGATTTCAATGATATTATTAATACAAACAAAACGCAGAGTCACTCACTTTATGTTCATTCATATAATAATAATATAACATATGATCAACAAAATCATTAATAAACCATAAATTACGTTATAATTCATTTGATATTTATATATTGAATAATAATTAAAGGGAACTATAATAGAGTAAACGTTATTTATATGAATAATAATGTAACTCAACGTCAGTATTAATATAATACTGTACTAATATAGGGGTCAACCAAAACATTTATACAGTTGTTTACATAATAGTATTGAAACCATTTAGTGACAAAAAAATTGAATTTATTTAAGTATAACAATTATGTGACTAAAAATTTAGTTAACTATAAAAACAAATATCAAATTTTAACAAAAATAAATTATCCAAATATTATTAAACATTTATTATTTCTACAAATCGAATGTCACGTAACGTTATATATGAATAGTTTGAATATATAATGTACTAATTAGGGTTAGATCAGATTCCGTCCCTCGTTTTTATTTTACAAAATTTCCTTATATTCCTTGTCTGCTGGGAATTCCTAGTGAATCTATTTCCTTGTGCTACCACCTATTAATTTCTAAACAACACATTTTATTATACTGATTGAAAAAATATATTAAACTGTATTTTAAGTTGTATTAATAAATAGTTTGATTAAATTTATTGTTTCTAATTATATTTTTAAATATTTTAATATATTTTTGCAAAATATTTAAGTTTTGGTACTATTTATTGTAATAATATAAAATATATTTTCCCTTTCTAACGATAAAATATTTTCCCGGAATATTAAAAGGATTTTGTAGTGAACTTCCCTCTCTGTGAATGTTTGGTCGAACACTAGTATTAATAGAGAATAATAGAGAATATACAGTAATATACAGTATATGAGCACTGATTGGCCATTCAGTCGAAGCACTACTGAATGTGAGTTAATGTTAGACCAGAAAAACAGTCAACACTTGAAGTGACGGACGGACGGCATCGCAAACGGACTGTCCATCCAATGGGTCACTACTCGAGACCGTCTTCACCACATCGATGGTCATCACCGGTCATCTACTGGTCATTGATGGTCGTCATCATTGGTCTCATAATACAGTCATCACAACAATGTATGTTTGCATTCATTGCTTTCTCTCATTACTTATACTTATATATCATTTACTCTATAATTGATTGCAATAATCAATTGAAAGTGTTTTTTGCAATTTTGTGTTTACTATTGCTTTCGTGATTAACAATGATTTATTACATTATAATAATAATAATAATAATGGCTTTAATTGCCATTAAATATACATATTATACCAAATAATTATCTACCGGTTCTTGACATTAACGACACACCCGTTATTTAAAAAACAAACATATTTTTCAATTATTAAAATAAATAAAATTTTTGTTAATAACATAAACACAATAAATATAAATAATCAAAAACTATATCATATTTCATAGGTTTATGACTTAAATCTTTTAGTAAAACAGTGATAAATATAAAGCAAATTATATTTGTTATGATTTGAAATGTTTTTAACATAAAACATATGATATGTTTACTTGAATTCTGTTTATAAGAATATTACCAGAATTTGCTTATAATTTATTTTTATATTGATTTATATTAACTAAATCTTTACGATATTCACCAAATAATTATAAAAAAGATATTTTTACAAATATTAAAGTAAATTGTTTAAAATAATTAATTTAAACTATATTTTAGACAAATAATTTTTAAGCCTATATAATAGTCTGTTTCTAACATTAAATATATAAATAACTAATATCAAAATACCATTTTGGTTTAACCCAAAAAAAAACAATTATTAAATTATTTGATTGCTATTTTATTATATTAGTTAATAATAGTTAACAATTAAATATAACAATTAATTTATTATAATGTACAGTATATAGAGATTGTATATAAATAATTATACTACAAATAAGTATATTTTATAGATTGCATTAGCATTACCCATATTTTTGAAATTAATACTAATTAATAATTTAATTAAAATTAAAGTTATTATCATAGAAACTATAATTAATTGAGATCAAGGTTTTCCATTTAATAAAACATTAATTTAATTAAATAAATTCATATTGAATTATTTAATGGATTAATAAACATTTAATTTCATGTAATTTGAATATTTGTCATAACAATCTATTTGTGTATTTATATTATTTTTTTAGCATTGATTAGTTGGTTGAATCATTAATAATCATCAGTGAAATAAATTTCATTGTATATACAGTAATACTATCATTTAAATTAAACTTATTATTAGTAGATTTATTTTAAAATATCATATTTTAAAAAATCAATAATCATTTATACGGTATGAAAATTAACATAAAATATTATTCATTTCCTAATTTTATTTTATTTTCAGATAATATATTTTAGTTTATATTTGATTAATATATATATTATCTTAAATATAAGTCTGTTTATTGCTTAACTTGTTTTGACATTTATTTATTGGAATAATTTTAATAAAAAAAATAAGGCTAAAGAACTTGTCATAAAATAAAGAGAATAATATTGTGATTTGTATATTATATCATTATATTTATGACATATACAGGTAATCACATGAAAATATTCAGATTATTAACTAAATTTAATTAATAAATCATAATATTAACAAATAATTAAAAAAAACTATTTAATAAGAAATTTTATCTATAACACATCTCAGAGACTATATTAGTTACTATATAAATATTTATAAAAATTATAGATATTAAATATTTTATACGTTTTATTAAACTTAACAACTTTAGTATCATCTAATTTTGTTTTAATACTAATTTTATGTATTATTAACTTAGAAATGTATTATTAATTAAAAATATCATTGGATATTCTGGGGTAATATTATATTATATTTCTATTATACTATACTTTTTGAAGTTAATGTTTATATATTTTAGATATAATGTTATTAATGAAAATATTAGTGAAAAACTTTTATAATTTATTTAAAAATTATGAAAAGTTGAAATCTATTTCTATAAAATCATGTAACACTGTTTCCTGTTATTAGATAATAGTGATTCAAATATCAGCATTTTTTGTGGAAAGTTTGTTTTTGTAAACATCAGTTTCATTTTATGACAAGTACTTTAGCATTTAATTTTTCAATAATTATAAACTGTTATCGATGTAAGCTATCAAATATTATTTAGACTATATATGATTGCAATTTAGATATATAACTATAAAAGGATAAATAAGATTATGTTTAGCATATCACTTACAAAACTGTTATTTGTATAAAATAATTGTTTATTTTTGACATATAATTTATAATCAGTTAATTACTAGTTTTAACACATGGATTTCATTGCATATTATTATGTTTTTTTCAGTAAAAGTAAACCAATTTGAAGCCTCGCGTCAATTATATCCATTGAAATCCTATAGAGAGGTACAGATCTACCACTTTGTAATACCCAATGAGGTATTGGAGGCCAAGTGGCGCTTCAATGCCTCCACTAGCGATGCCTCCACTTATAAAAGTCCGTTAAAAGTCTATTCATCGCAACTGAAAGTATTAAACCTACACTCGTGTGAACCGATGGATCTAACTGTTCACATAAGATATGGAAGTCTACCCATAATTAATATAAATAACGCAACACTTCCCGAAAATTTAATGACAAATGACACCCAACAGTATAAGATTGAATGGAAAAGCGATTCAACACTAAATGAGTTTAACATAACTAATCCATTACCCGGTCATTGGTTTGCACTTTCGTATATCAATACAAAAGATGATAGGATATCACAAAAAGGACTCGAAGTCGAGTGTCAGCACAAACTGACGACTAGTCTTTCATTTAAAATATTCAGTCATTTATTTCCAAACAATGAGATCAAAGTCTTAACGACAACCAATTCGCTGATTCAGACAACAAATGTAACAAATTTTTATAAATTTTACTTAAAGGCCAACTGTTTTAGTGCCAAATTAGTCATTAGTGAGTGCGCACAGGTATTGCCAAACACTAACCGAAGCGCAACTCTCTGTCCATTTTCGTTATACGTTAGGTCAATGGCAATGCCCTCACATAAAGATAACGATTATTTAGTAGATTGCTTGCAATCACACAATTCCGGTGACAACTGTCTCATTGAAATGCATTCACTGGCGTCTGACTCTTGGATTTACGTTTGGATCGATTCATCAAATGTCGACACAAATCAACAAATTTTATTCAAAATTCAACTTTTTATCGATCAAAACACTAATTGTTTTTTAATGAATAATCAATTGCAAACAAATCCAACATTACTATCGGATATTATTACATACTCTAGTCGTCCCACTAGTGATAACAAAACTACTGATATGTTTATAAACCCACCAAATATTGACAAGAAATATAAATACATTAGTTTGACCCGATATGACACAACTAATAGTCTTGAGTTCAAATACAGTCACGTCGATGCAACCAATCTTTTCTCAAACCAAAGTGTGTCACTATTTATGGATATTCCAACCGATAACCGATCGGTATTCGAGTTCGCCATCATTCCTCTGGCCGACATCGGCGGCACTCTTGCCATAGATATAGCTATCTCTCCGTACATTAACATAACGTACCAGAATTATAGTATGACAGCGTGTCTACAATATGGACGTATTGGTGGTATTGCACGCAATGGTCTGACCGATTGGAAAGAATGTTTTCGTACGATGAAAGTGAATACTAGTTCACCGCAATTCAGTGCCGGTAAAGGCATTGATACGGTATTAATACCATTTCCGAAACCCGGCAATTGGTTTCTTACACTTGAAATACAATGCTATCTGAATGAAGAATATGGAGTTGAAATTGATTGCAGCGATAATAAGACATCCATATTGTTGGACATAACATCCACGCCATGTCTTAACTCTAAGTGTAGTAATCGCGGCAAATGTTACCAATACTTCAGTGGAGGAGTTCTTTTTAGTTCATGCGTTTGCAAAGGAGGTCTGACTTTTAAAATACTAATATTTTTTATTCATTAAAACTAATAAATGATTGATAGGATGGAAGGGTTGGTTCTGTAACGATGGCTCACAGGCTCTACAAGAAGATCAACTTTTGCTCAACTTTTTGTTACTAACATTAAGTAATGTAATGTTTATACCGGCTGTGATAGTCGCTACTTATAGAAAACATTTCACTGAAGCGCTGATCTACTTGACAACAATGACTTCATCGATGGTCAGTATTTTATCATTAAATCTCATTAATGCTGATATAATGCAAAACTAACATTTGTATTGAAATGATTAGCTATACCACGCCTGTGATTCAGATTATCCACAATCTTATTGTTTACTACCCGTCAATGTTCTTCAGTTCGGAGATTTTTATTCCGCCATTTTGGCCTTTTGGGTCACATTAATAACATTAGCCAATATGCCAGACCTCTGTCGAGCCTTTTTCCATGTGTTCGGTGCTATACTAATCGCTTTCGCTGTAGAGACCGACCGAACCAGTCTTTTGGCTTTTGCATTGCCGGCAGGTATTGGCGCTGCCATTCTCATCATTGCTTGGGTTAGTAGTACTGAATTTGATTTGACTAAATGATTACTATTTAGTTTATATATTATTGATTAATTTAAATCAATAGGTGTTCCGGTGCTGTAAGACTTCATGTTACCCACCGAGTCGTCTCTGGCTATTCAGTATTTTGCCGGGAATTGCATTGTCAGCGGGAGGTCTTGTGGTTTATGCCTTTTTCGAGACACAAGAAAATTATGCCATAACTCATAGGTTTGTGTTTTATTTTATAATTTGTAATCAATTATATTAATATTGTTGGTATGGGAACAGCTGTTGGCACGGAATTATGGCGTTAGCGCTACTATTTTTGGTGCCATCCATGAGGACAGATACTGAAGATGAAGAAGTCGGTGGCAAAGGTAGTGACACTGAGACCTATTATGAGCTAATAGGCGAAGAGGGCTCTCATTTAGCGCGAGTGACTCCTCGTTAAGCATATCTTGATTGTCCACTAATTACTTATTATTATTATTACTCATACATTAAGTTAACAATTTTAATATATTTTAATTTTTCAATTGAGACTCAATTTAATTTAATTTTTATTTATTATAATTTTATTAATACTATTATGATATACCATATCGTTATCCATTATATTTATGTCACGAGTTTTATACTCACATATTATTTATGTTTTGATAAAGAGTTTCATATATGTCAGTCACAATAATTGTGATTATTATAACAATTATTTTAATATATGAAAAAAATTAAATTATAATGCTTGTGAATTTCGTAAATATAATTGATATAAAAAATATTTATTTATTTATATGATCTCAAAATGTAGTTATTATTATAATATAAAATATAATGAATTAATTTTAAATAAAAAGCGCAAACCGTTTGTAATATAATAGAAGCGATAATTGATTTTTGGTTCTCTTTTTTGTTTTTCTATTTATATGTCTATAGTGTCGATGCCTAACGCAAAGTTAGCTCACGTGGAGTGGAGACCATCGCACACAAGTTTTAAGTTTTTGAATGATGACATCGACATGTTGTGACCTATTTGTGTGACCTCTTGACCACTCAAATCACTTGATAGACAAATCCAAACAATTGAGAGACCAATTATTGATTGCATAGAAAGCGTCACTTTTTTGCCACAATTTCCATGAAATTTCCAAAAGCTCTGAAATGTCGAAAATAATCTCTAAATAACATTGAATTGATAGACTAATACTCCCCCAAAGTGTGGACACAATAATTGTTTGCAACTAAAACAAGTTTTTATAAAAAGACATTTTCGGTTATTACTAAATCATTTTATGCCATTGTTATGTAGTTTTCATAGTGATTGCGGTCAATAATAATATATGATATAAATTGATAGACAATTTGTGAGATTATTGGTTGACATAATTGAAACAATTTTATATAATAATAATATATAATTAGTTATAATCTGTTCAATATTTAATATAATAATATTAATTAATAATATAATTTTAAAATTGTTAATAATAAGGGAAACATAAGTCGTATTGTTATTTGCAATGACTTATATAATAGATTCCTTAAAAAATATTTATTATCTGTTAATGTTTATTATTTCGAGAAATTTTAACTAACGTTTAACTCTTAATTTTCATGGTTTTTTAAATTAATTAAATGATTTTTTTAAAATGTTATTCAAATAATTTATATTTATTGTTAAATTATTTGTTGATTATAATGAAAATTTAATGAATACAATTTGTTTTAATGAAACTAAATATTTTTGGATACATTTATTAGTTAATCTATTTACTAATCTATAACTTCTCTTTAATTATTGATATTTATTAATTCAATTTAAATATCAAACTATTGCGTCTTCTTTGAAGTAGACAATGGCTTTATAATGACTGATCCATCCGTCACTTAAGTACTGGTAGTAAAACGGGGTTTTAATTAACGTTTATAAAGATATAGATAATACAGATTATTTGAATTGTTGTTTAATGGTTTGTTGAATCAATGAATCGGTCTTCAAGACCATTGTATCCGTTCTCAAGTCAAACATAAGTTTGCAGTTAATATTATTGATCCCTTTTTTATGTTGCAATTGTTTTATTAATGAATTTAAATTATAATTCAAACATTTATATTGAATTTATTAAAATTAATTATCAAAATGATTATATAATGAAAACAGTGATTTTGTTTAATGAAATAATGATTTTGTTTTATTTAATTTTATTTATCACTCCTTCCCTGTGAAATCCTTTGAAGGAAAGCCTGACCTTTATTTTTGCGAAACTTTTCGTATGGATCGTTGTCTGCAGTCTTGACGCCCACTCCTCTATACATTTCATCCTTTTCTCTAACTTCGCCGCCTTTTATTGGATCTGAAAGACAATGTTGTTGTTATACATAAAAAGTATATTTAAAATGATAAAACAAATGTCCAAACAATTAATACCTTTGATTCCCTGTTCAGAAACACCTAATCCTGAGTTCCCACTCCAACCCATTTTCATAAGCATTTGATGTCCTTTATTTGATTCATCCAATCGTGACTCAACTTTCGTAAAAGAACTACAAAAACAAATATATGTTTAATTAATTTTATAATCATTTGAATAATCAATGATAACTAACCCAAAACTCGGTGGTGTAATGCTTCGACTTCTGCTTCTTCGATACGATCGAACAGGACTTCTGCTTTTACTTTTACTCCGAGATCTTGAATTTCTTCTTCGCGAAGATTCCGGACTTTTTCTAGATTTAGACTTTCGCGGACTAAACAAAAATTATTGATTTTTATTAAATTGAATATATATTTCAAGACCTATTTACCTCTTCTCTTCTTTATACTCTCGATATCGTCTCTTAGGTGAAGGACTTCTATGTCTTGAATGAAAAGATTGCGTTTGAGAATTATTTTGACCACTCTTTGAGTTGTCATTATTTGTGGCACTTTTGGCATTTTCTTTATGTTTATTATTCACTTCTTCAGGCGGTTTATTGTCATTCGGATCTTCTTTGAGTTTCTTTGTCTGGGACTTGGCTTTAAAAAATTCGTATAATCCTAATTGTTCCCAACCGTCACTATTTCTTGGTCTCTCATGAGTTGGTGGCGCATAAAAAGCTTCAACAGCTTGAAGAAGTCGTTCATTAGGAGGTGCTGGTGGTGGCAAACGAATCTCTTTTGGAACTATTGCCTTATATTCAAAGTCTTCAAGTTTAACTAGAGGTGCCATTAGACCAGCAGGAAGTTCATAGTAAGGGACTTCAGGAATGACTTCTTTTGGAGGAATTGGTACTGAATTCGGAACGTTATTGAAAAATTGAGGATTTGGTATTTGTGTTCCTGCAGATGGATATGGAGGGGTTGTAAATGCTTGGTTACCAGTTATCAGTTGCTGTTGTGTAACGGGTGGTCCAATTCCCAAATGTATTTGTGGCGGTGTTTGATGTAGCGGTAGTTGTGGCATAAGTAACCTTTGAGATGAAGGGTTATTGTTCGATGGTTGTACTCCTGCTGGTGGTTGTTGTTGGTGGCCAAGTGGTAAAAATATGTTTGGCATTGAAGTTGGAGGTGTTGATGGATCAAATTGTGTTAATAATGGTGGCCTGGGTTGTTGCTGATCAAATTGTCCAATTAAATGTGGCCGACTTTGTGGTGGCGGATCAAATGGTGCTAATAATGGTGGTCTTGGAGACTGATCGAACTGACCCATTGGAAGTCGAGATCCAAGTTGAGGTTGATTCGGTGGTATAACTAAATAACAAATATATTTAATACTGTTTAGACTAATAAAAATAACTCATTTTTACATCGATTAAGAGATGGATGTCCTGAGACTGGACATTGAGCATTGACTGGCATTGGGAGGGAAGTCACTGGCATTTGTGGCATATTTGGCAAAATTTGTTGATTTTGTTGCTATTATTAAAAAATAAAATACCAGTAATTAAAATTGATTATAAATTATTAGAAGATAACAAAATACTTGTAATTGTTGTATCTTTGATTGCATGTGTGATACAAATTCTGAGTGCTGTTTCTGGAGTTGACTAAACTTAGCCAACTGTCCATTTGTAACATTAGTTACTTGACCTGAAAATTCATTTAAAAGAGCACTCTATTGGTCAGTAAGATTAGCCATAACGTTGTGATGATACCGGAAAAATAGAAAAGATAAATAAAATGTTAATTTTTCTAAAATTTATAACTAAATTAAAAGTTATTTAATACTTAAACCTAAATTATGTTATTTTTTCATGTATTTTCTCTCTGAAATTTAACTTAGTTTAAACACTCAATACATTATTTATAAATATATATTTTTTTATTATAATATTTAAAAAATATATAATTTACTAAAATAAACAAATATTACAATTTCATATATAAATATATATATACTGTATATAATAATAATAAAATACTCATCTGTAATAATAATAAAATTATAGTCAAATATAAATACCTTATAATTAGCCAAAGCCATTGATGGGTTTTGCAACTGCTATTTATAGTGAAAACAACAACAAACAGTTTATACTCTCGTTTTTCACAAATCACTTATTATTATATATTAATAATAATATAATTTCATATTTAAAATCATGTTTTGTGGGTAGCATTTGAGCTAAAATATTATTACAAAAGCCTTACATCCAATGCTGTGCTCTCAAAGTACTGATTCATTTGCCATAACTTCAGAAGCTGTTTATTCACATAATTTATTCATTAATTCAATGATTTAAGAAAATAAAATCAAATACACAATAATATATCAGCGACTCATCAAAAAACAATCGGTTATTGTTTTTTAGAGCCTCCGATCGGATCAATAAATACTTACTTTATTGAGCTTTTGATGTTTTTCTTCGTCAGCGTCGCTGAATGTTTGGCAAAATATGGGAACAATTACTTTCTCGAGGCAACGCTTAAGACTGTCGTCTCCTTTTCTCTGACTAATTATGAGTTTAATTTCACACATAATTTCATTAAAATATTCATTTCAACAAATTTTTAATTTAATTCTTAAAAACTAATTAATTGTTTAATAATATAAAATTAATTCATACCAATGGCTCAATAAGTCGTTTATTAAGTAAAGGATGTGAAGTCTCGACTCAAATGTCGATCCAATTGTCATTACTCTGCAAAAAATACAATCACTTGATTATAATTATAACTTATAATTAGTAATAATCAAAATTTTATATTACCTATGAAGCAGATGCCGTGCAATCACATCATAATGAACGGGTGCACTGCAGTTGTTGAATATCCAGGCCTTACCTTTCTGTAACAAAAAATCATTTAATTTAATAAAATATTTTGAAAACAAATCTATCGGTAATTAAATTTAATACCGTAATCGCCTCTTTTGTACAATTGTCGGCAATCGGTAATAAAACATTTTCAAATTCATTTAAGTTAACATTAAAATCATCGGCCAATCGTCTCAATTGTTCTTCTTGTAATTGTTTGAGAACATTGTTGATAATAATGTCTTTCTCTTGCATTATCACCTGATGTTGAGCCGACAGATTGCCCTCTGATTGGCGAATCTGTTCTTTCAATTCATTGATCTGTTGTGTCAAATGATCTAAATTATTGGTCATATTATTGATGCCATTATTTTGCCACAGATTTGATTGTTGTTGCGATTGCTGTGGTGTCTGTGTCGGTGCTATTGGTGTGGATCCCTGTTGTGGTGGTCCAACCGATAATGATATTAATTGTTGTCCACTGGCCATCATAAGCTGTTTGTGATGAATTTGCCGTTCCTGTGATACTTGAAACTGATAATAGCCGAAGAACTCACCGCCAAACAGAAAATGAAAGCGCGGATTATCTCTTTGTTTATCTTTAGTCATTAACTCAAATTCGGGTCCATTTCTGGCCACAAATTGGGCCAACTTGTCAATGATGTTGCGCTGCTCTTCATCTGCAAACAAAATGAAGAACCAGTGATAGAAAAGTGATTAAAAAAATAATAAAATTATCATTTTTTGTTGTTTGTGTTACCGTCGGGTGCTTTGACCGAATAATTCATTATTTGAAAGCCGTTTTCGGTGTTGCGATCACTGCCTAAACAATTGATACAACAATTGTCACAATTTTGACATTACTTTTAATCACTAAAATTGTCTATTAATTCAATTATTGTCTATATTTTCAAAACAATTATTGTTTTATTCAATGCTTTACTTTATCACTGCTATTGCCATACAATTCAATGCATTCACGCCATCACTCATTCATACAATTAATACTCACTATAATAAACAATTGCAAAATCATGTAAAATAATTATTGCAATTATTAACATAAATTAATTTTTATTATTGATTTTATATTATCATTTACTTAATTAAATTTGTTAATTAAAATTTTGCTAAAATAATTAATAACAATATAATTAATATTAATGATTATATTAACTGAGATTTGACTGCAATTCTGTCAATAAAACATCAGTCAATCAATGACTCAATAGTTTGTATACAATATAACAATATTTTGGTTATTATTGAATAGTTTTTTCTATAGAAAACAGCAATTAATTTATGGCAACAAATATAATAACCGAAATGTTTGTCAAATTGTTGGCCACTTTACCGATTACACCGATACACTAATCAATGATTATCGGCCTAACATTTGATCAATTATTTCGGCATTAATTAGTTTTTAATATTAAATTAAGATTTTTTTTGGCGAAGATGTGAATTGTGAGACCAAAAAGTAGCCGCAAATTATCAAACAATGTTCACAAAGGGTTTCAGTACAACACTTGAAGGTCCGGCCAATGCTCTGGCAGTCAATCGCGACGCAAACTTAGTGGCAGTGGCCGGCCGTACAGTCTTCAAGATATTTGAGATCAATGACGACCACTTTACCGAAGCTTTTAATCTAAGAGTCGGCAAAAACTTGAACCTTAACTACAGCTGCAACGACGTGGCCTGGAATGAGGTCGATGACCACCTGTTGGCCACTGCGGCCACAAATGGCGCTATAGTTACGTGGGATTTGCATAAACAGACCCGATCTAAACTGGATCTCGTCTTCCAACACCACAAACGAACTGTCAATAAAGTGTGTTTCCATCCATCGGAAGCATATTTACTACTTAGTGGATCTCAAGATGGACTCATGAAGTTGTTTGATCTAAGATGTAAAGAGGCGACGAGTACTTTCATTAGTAACTCGGAGAGTGTCCGTTATGTTCAGTTTGCGCCGTCTCAGGCCAACTATTTTAACTTTGCTTCGGTTCAGGAAACGGGAAATGTCGAGATTTGGGACATACGACGGAGCGATCGGCCAGAGATCAACTTTCTAGCGCACGGGGGACCTGTCTTTGCCTGTGATTGGCATCCAAATCCTGAAAAGAGGAAATGGTTGGCCACCGCTGGTCGCGACAAAACCATCAAAGTATGGGATCTTTCAAACCCCACAAAACCACATAATTTATATACTCTTCATACGATTGCTTCTGTTTTGCGACTTAAATGGCGTCCGAGTCGTGACTTTCAGATAAGCAGTTGTTCTCTTCTCGTCGACTTTAGTATCAATGTTTGGGATATTAGGCGTCCTTACGTGGCGTCAGCTATATTTCAGGAGCACAAGGATGTGACGACAGGGTTCGCCTGGAAGAATGATCCGCGAATACTGTTGTCGACCAGTAAAGACGGAACTCTATATCAACATCATTTCGATACAGCTTTCCGTCCGTCACTACACTATAATCCGATTGGACTATCAATAAACCCGACGGGAGACGTAGCTTTTTCTGCTAGTGATCACATTTTGAGAAATAGTGTTTACTCGGGTAGTAAAGAGTTGGTTAAAGCCCACTCTATTGGACCTAATAGTAGTCTCACACCCATCACTACTGTTCTTTCACTCACCAACTACTCGAAGGTCCGGTTTTCTCAATTGTTTAAAAAACCAAGTGATGTATCGGATCAGTTTAAAGATGTCTTCAGTTCACTTATGCTTTATAAGTGTCCTGACAATGAATTAGCTGACAATTTATCAATGAAATGGTTTGTAAATTTAGCGAAAAAGTATCAGTTAAGTGGTAAGTCTATTGAAGAGTTGTGTGAATATAATGCTTGTGTTGCCGCTGAACATAACAGAACTCAAGTGTCACAAACCTGGAGAATATTAATGCAAATGTTTAATACAAGTATACGATCGGCACATATGAGTGGCGCTAATATAAACCAAATTGCAATCGGAAATATCACAGAATTTAATGATAAAAATGATTTAAGTCATCCGTCTAGACATAGTAGCGGTAGTGGTGGCCGACATTTTAGTGGTAATAAAGTTAAGGACCAACTTCTGGCTAACGACGCATCGGGTAATGAAGAAGAGTCAGACATGAGTGATATAATGGATAATATTGTTCAGCCAAAACCTAAGCGTGTGTCTCAGTTGACTCCACAGAAGCATTTTAATGGCGAGTTTTTCTTCAGTGACATTGATATGACGACCAATCAGACAAAATTAGATTTAATTCAAAATAACAATATGACAGATGTTATGTCCAATCAACAGGACTGGGTTTTGCCCAGAGAGGCATTCTTTCCAAGACATCCCATTCAAGATTATTTAATACCACCCGAAATGACTGAGACTAATGAGGAGCCGAGTTCTCCAAAAAGTGAAACGAATGAAGAGGAGGATGTCGTCGATAATATGAATTATATGTCTCTGAATAGCTCCCAATGGAACTCAATATCTTTATTATCATCGAAAGCCCCGCCGAACCCTGTTTGGCCGTTCACTAATTTAGTGGCTGATATGCTTCACTTTTATGCGGGTCAGGGAGACATTCAGAGTTCTGTCTCAATACTGCTGGTATTGGGCGACAAAATGAAGACAGCTATAGATGTAGCCGTTCAACAGCAATGGTATCAGTCATATATTGATCTCTTAAGTCGCTTTGAATTATGGAATGTCGCCAATACTGTGATAAGATTATGTCCGCACCCATACATCAATACAATCAATCACTCGTCGACTACAATATATTCGACATGTGGTATGTGTCGGAAGGCATTGGTGTCTAGAGTTGGCTGGATTTGCGAGAGATGTAACAGTAAACCAGCAAATTGTGCCATTTGTCACGTAGTTGTTACCGGATTGTATGTATGGTGTCAGGGATGTGCACACGGCGGTCATCTTCAGCACATCCAGGAATGGTTGACAAATAACACCCTTTGTCCGGCCGGTTGTGGCCATCACTGTGAATATACTTAACATATTGTAAATAATTTTTTATTACCTTTAATTAACTTAAACACATCAACAAAAGTCATATAAAAAAGTTTTATATAACTATCATTTATTTAGAAAATCAATGGTTCCTTTTGATAAACCAAATAATAATCAAATCATACGAATTATTAAAGCATTTCTAATGTATTATTGTTTTTAATAATAAACTTTAATTATATAAATTAATATTCAATGTATGTTACAAATAAAAATAAATGTATTTATTTATTTTTTATATATATATACGAGGAAATCATATAAATGTTTTACTAAAACTATTAGTATAAATAATAATTATTTTTTATATAAAAAAAGTCAAGGATTTTGGGAAAATTCATGTTTTTTTGTACCGAAAATTATTGAATAAATTTCACAAAATTACTGACAAAAGTTTAACCTTAAACTTGAAAACAGTTTTAGATAACATAACAATATATGTAACTATTTTAGACCAAAAATAGTATAATTTGAGTGAAAATACAGCGACTTTTTTATCGATAAAAAATCATTTTCAGGTAAATAATGACTTTAATTAGTTTTAAGTGACATAAAATTAACACACAGACGGCCTAAATAACTAATGATAACAATAAAGCATATCATATGATGTGTGTTAACACAACAAAAAAAACTATTTTGTTTTGACTTTAAAATACAGTAATTGAGACTAACATAAGCGCATTGCATTGCATTGCATTGCATTGCATAACATTAATTATCAAACTTTTACTTGTTTTCTATTAGTTAATTATACCGAAGAGTAAAATATTGCAAAAAATATTTTTTTTAACTTTAATAACTAAACAAAAATCTTATAATTATACGTCAAAATTGATTTTATTAATTACTTGTTATAAGATATAAAATACAAGATAATTATTTATTTATTTATTTTGTATAGATTTACAAACAGCTAATAATGATTAAGAACTCAATCATGCAATAACTGAATGCAATTGAAGGGTCAATCAAATACTGGAGTTTATGTCAAACAATGATAATAAAAATAAAAACTTTTTTATTATAATAACTATAAGCTCTAGTTTTATTATCATTAATAATTATTCAAAATTTTATTTATTATTCATAATTATTAAATTACTTTACAGTATTTTTTTTATTATTGATAAATTATTACTTTTAATTTCTAATTTATTAAAATTGCATACATTTATAATATTGATTCAAATATGTAATTAATTTTATTGTTGGTTGTAATTGATTAACATTTCAAAAGAAAAATTTATTCAATTTCAATAAAAAATTAATGTTATATATATATATATTGTATTTAAATATTACAAACAATTTCTTTTATCCAAAAATTTTTCGAAATTGTGCCAAACATTTATCATTTACTTATAGTTATTTAAATTTCAATTAAAATCAATGAAAATTAAATAAATAAAAAGTTTTTTTTGTGGGCAAACATAAAATATCTTTCAAACAATTAAAGATAATTTTAGTTTAATTATTTGTCACACGAAATACCAGTGACTGAGACACTACTTTTCAAAAACAATTTTCTTTTAGTGATATACTTAGATATAATCTCTCTCTCTCTCTCTCTCTCTCTCTCTCTCTCTCTCTCTCTCTCTCTCTCTCTCTCTCTCTCTCTCTCTCTCTTTCCTACTTTTAAATGTATGAATGGTTTAGTTTGATTGTAGTATTCGATGAACATATAGCTCATAGACATACCTGAATGTTGACTCCCCCTAAACTGTACATACAGTACACTATTGTAGTAATAATGGTAGTATAGCTGCCATACCTTCAGGTGTAATGCCTGTGCAATTGCTGGAGGCTCTAAGCGTTTTGATTTGTTAGAGTTGAATAAGACTTATATAATGGTATGAAAGGCAATTGTATGGTATGTTTTGGGGGACTATAGCTGCTATGAGTGCAACGCTTGGCCACCGGTTCACTAGAGTTGAGCGCTAAGAGTACAGCAGCCCTTACCTCAAACCTAAGCACTGGGATTCATGAGTCACTTGTTTAAGGCTTATGTAAGCAAATGTTATGCTTGTATTGAGTGCAGTGACGAGTAGTCTCTTACCAATAGTTGTACTGATAGTGTCTGAGAACAACTCCAGAGAACTTACCTGTAGTTCCACTCATCCGATCACTAAAATGGCCGAACCATTAGGTCTGTGCTCTTGAGACGGTGTTGTGTGAGTCGAGTCCTCATTTTGGATGTTACTTATATCACGACAACTCTCACCACAACTACTCAACATAACAGCGCTTATTGTAAATGCCTTTCAATCATATGATTATAAATCAATTTTCATATGAATTGATGCAAACTTTTCTCCATTCAATTCAATACTGCTTTGCATTTTGACTCTCAATTGACGCTAACATAACATATATTGATAGTTATATATAAGAGAGAGTCAACTATAAAAACTAATGTTGAAAGTTATCATTGCATTCATCACTGACTGATCATCACATCCCTTACTAACCAATACTACGCTAATTACATAAACAATTAATTACCTTATTATTCGGCACCGGAAGTGACTATCAATATTAAGTCACTAATTGTTTGTCATTCATAGTCATTGACTGTTGGACTAACTTATCAATAGATATTTGAAACTATTGAGTAAATGTGTTACAACTGTCCGATCAACAGGTGATGATGTCAACTGTTATAAGTCTTGTGCGGCGTTTCAATAGCACATCCTATGAGAATGTGTGTAACCGGTGCTCACATGTCGTCTATTCGGCCGAAAAGATTGGTCCACTCAAGGACTTCACTTTCTATCACCACAACTGTTTCAAATGTCACGTTTGTGGCACCAAATTGACACTTAAAACATATTATAATAACCAACAGAACCAGGACGACAAACAGGTATGTCTTCATCTATAACTTTATTATTATTATTATTAAAATATTATACTTTTAATTAAAACATCCTTAATTTGTGACTTTTATTATTGATAACTAATAATAATTGACCAAGATCATATATATAAATTTATATCAGTGTTAAACCCTATCTTGTTTTAATTAATACTGGTATTAATAAATTATACAGAAATTTATCTTAAAATAATTTAGATTATTGTTGTTTAGGTGTTAAATCATAGATAGAATTTAATCCTAATATCATTATAAAATTCAAAATTTAAATTATTATTTATGTAAAAAAAATTATTACAGTAAACCTTGATTTTTTAGAAACCTTTATATAAGAAGATTTGTGTTTTTAAGTTAACAGCTTTACTTATAATATAAACTTTTAATTAATATATATATATATATATATATACGTTAATATATAGCTTTTACTAATTACTATTATATTATTTATATTTAATTTATTTTCGAATTTTTGTTTTTTTCTATAAATATATAGTATTTTACAAAATATTTATTATTTATGTTCATAAAAACGCGATATAATTAATTAGCCAAAAATAAATGTAGTAAATTATATTATATAATATTTTAAAGTTTGAAATAATTTTTTAAAAACAATTATATATTTTATTGAATTTAGAATTAAATATTGAATGTTATATTTGAACTCAGTTTTTGAATTTTGAATATAAACTGTTATGTATTGAAAACTGATTAATCAAACGATTGGTAACACTTCAGCAAACATTTGACACTTTATTTCATTTTGATAAATATATTCATTACCAAAAAACAGTTATAAAACAGGCATTTCATTAAATTGTTTATTTCTAAATATACCTCTAAATATTGGTAACTTTATTAATACTGTGTATATATATATAATCTACAAAAACGACATAAACAGTTATAAATAAATTATTTTTCTATCGACCTTTTGAAAAAAAAGTTTTTTAAAAGTTTAAAAATATCCATAATATTAAAAATTGTAATAAATTGGAAATATTTGTAGTTTAAAAAAATATATTTATATATTTGTTTTATTATAAATTCCAATGTGTTGTAAATGTACAAAACTTAGCTATCGGTAATAATTTGTAAATTTCTCTAATAATAAATAAAAACAGGAATTACTTTTTTTTAAATCATGAAAAATTGTTTGCAAAAAACTTTAAAATAATTATTTTGGTTTTGTTTTAAAAATTTAAATTACTAACATTCATATAGTGTATATATTTCTGATATTATTATTATTTAAGTTAACGTTTCCAAACTAATAAAAATATAATAATAATAATAATAATAAAACATTTAAGGATTGTTTTCAATTTATATGATGAATACAATAATTGTATTTATGATTTGTATTGTATTTAAAGCACGAAAAGTAAAATTTTGTTCATTGGCTTACATTAGTTGTGAATTACATCGGTTTCACTTCAAGTTCACTGTACTCACAATTTTTTATTAACAATATATACTGTAATATAAATGTTTGAAAAACTCTATGTTTGAGACCGGAAATAAAATCACCTCTCAATTTGTAACAAATATTTATTTTTGTTTTTGGTTTTGACACAAAAATCATAAATTTGATTTCATTAAGAAAGTAAAAATATTATAATTTATTATTTCACATAAAACTTGATTAACATTTTTTAATATATTGTTAATATACAAAAATCTTAATTTAATATACACTCTAATAATCTCATAAAAATATATCTTTCATATCAATTTATTTACTATTATATATGCAATATAAATGTATATATTATTTTTATTTTATTTTGCAAACTTTTATTTTAATTTTTATTAACAAATTAGCTTCTCATGGCTTTATCTTTGTTTTAGAATTTTAACGCAAATTAACTATTATTTATTTTTTATTGTATTATTAATAAATATACGTTAAAACACTTATTTATTTTATTTAAATAAATCATATTTAAGTAAATATAATAATAAAAAATGTGATTTCAGGGCTAAATATTAGAGAATAATTATTGTATTGTTATTATTTGAATTTCAATAACAAACAAAAAATGAAACACACAATTGATTTGTTTGGATATATTATTTGAGCGGAAATTACAATTTATTTTATAGGGATTTTTATTATATAATAAATAACTGAATGAAATTTTAAATTTGACAATCAAATAATTATTTTTAGAAATTATTTCATTAATATTCAGCACATTATTTAACCAAATTTTTATTGCTATTTATATAACTACTGTATAATACGATATTAGTATTAAAATACTGTATTAGTATTAAATCATTTAATTAATACAATTGTATTTAATTTATTTAATTAAAATTTTTGCCAATTTTTTTGTATCATTCTCACAGTGCAATTCTTAATTGAATTTACAATACAGTTATTAAAACACATCATATTAGAAGCACTGGTAGTTTTGAGGGATAGGTATGGGTGTAAAAATGAAAATATTATACAATAATAATCACTTTTTCTAAACTTCACCAACTTTTGGCTGGAATTCAGTTCATCCGAAAAAATGTTTATATGATTTCAATGAGAGTTTTGGGAAAAAGAGAGACCTTTGAGGCACAACTTTCTTGTTATAATAAGACTAATATTAAAGCCAATTATGTAAAGCCAACCAACCCTGGGGTCACATATTTATTGAATAAGTCCTTGGATTGGATTTGTTTTATTTGATTTGTTCGTTTGAAATGTTATAACAAATATTTTACATTACAATTATATGTTTGTAAAACAATATAATAACTAATGGATAGAAACCAATAATGCAGTCAAAAAAAATGATAAGAAATATATGTCTTAAATCCGATTCTCATCAGAAAATTATGACTTTTCTTTCTCGTTGTCATTATTTCATCAAAAATATATCTTTTTTTCCTCGACTGATAGACTCAACAATTGGTGCCAAACTTATTATCGCACTGTTGTGAACATTTCTTATACAATCTCATGACTCGTAACTATATTAGGTGTGTTTGACATTTTGTGTCAATATATACATTATATATCATATAATATGTAATATTTTGAATATTTCAAAATGAGATTTTTATATAAATATTTAAAATAATTTATTTTGACTAAAAATGTAATTTAAATTTTGAGAAACGATCTAAAAATTAATGGGATCACCTGCTAGACTATTGCAATTCATAACATTGTACTATCGTATTAAACTGTATATAAACATTACATTTATAATTATGATGTGCTCTGAAAAGTTTATTTTTGAAATAAAGTTTTAAAATAATTTTAATCATAAAATAACAACATTTTTGTTATCTTATACAGTATATGCAAATATTATTAAACATTATTATAATTGCAATATTATTATTGCACTTATTAGTAATATTATTATATTTATACTGTATTTATAGTACTTTACTATATTTTGCAATTTTATAATATTTATGGTTTGCTTTCGTGAAGGGTTTTATTAAATCTAAAGTATATAAAATTTGATTTTATAAAAATATGGTAAATGATTTATAGCTTAATAAACTTTAAATTAGACATTTTAAACACATTTTAAACGTAATTATTTTAAACTAAAAATATCAGCAAAATTAATTAACATATGACTAAAGCATATATTCACTGATTTTTACAAAATATTTTATAATTGTTATGAAAATTGTACATATATTATATATAATTTGATTGATATATAATATATTGATATATAAATTTAAATAATTTAGTTTGTGCACAAAAAACAAAAATGTTTAGCTTTACAAACTACAAAGTTTGTAAAAATTACATTAAGGTTTTTTTCAGTTAATAAATGTATATAATAAATAAATTGTTGACTAAATTTCCAATAAATCTCATAAAATATATTATTAAAATGAATTAAGATATCTTTTAGAGATTTATACGCTTTTTTGTTAAAAACTATTTTTTCAAAAATATAAAAATAAAATAAATTTATGTTTTCTTTTAATGAGTTATTTATTACATCGAATTGAGAGTCTATTCGGGTCTAACTTATCATTAGTGAGGCCTTCAATCGCGCAGTGAATTTGAAAACTTAGTTTTATACAATCAATAGATTTGTATTATAACTTATAATTTATAAGAAAAATATAAGTGATTATTGAAAGCCATAAAATTTCTAATGAATGGATCAGTAATTTTAAGACAAAATTTTACATTTTAATGATTATGTACTTTAATATGATTTTTAAAAATATTTTCACTGATGTTATTAAACTCTTGTTAAAGAAATTTTCTTTTGTACAACATTTTAAGTAATATATCTTATATCTATAATAAATATAATTTTATCAATAAGTCAAAAAATGCGAACATAATTATGAAAAAATAATGCATAAAAAATTATATAAATTGAAATACATGTTGAAAATAATTAAATATTTATAAACAATTTATTTTTTACTAATACTGTATGTTAATAACATTATATTTTTGACATTAAAATTAAGACTATGTGTGATAATTTTTAATTAAATGAAGTTTTTATTTTTAAAGACATTAGCATAAATAAATAAAAAATTTAATGTTATATATGATTTTGCTAATATTTATTTAATTATATTTTATGTTTAAATTACATTAATTTGGTAATCCATCAGATTTAAACTAAAACTATTTGACATTTTCCCAGTTTTAATTTATAATAATAATATATGTTATATAAATAATTTAGTATATATATTTAAAATTAAATAGCCAAACTTAACAAGTGTTATCAAAATGTATTGTATTATATATATATATAATTAGATATTTTCATTGATGCTGATGTTTTTCATTTTTTATAATTATAATTATATTATGAGATTATATTATAATTTTTACAATTTTATGAACTTCTAATACATTTTACATGATATAAATTAATAATATAAAATATTTTAATTTGTAAATAATAATTTATTTGAAAACAAAATTATAAAGTATATCATAATTTATTTTAAACATAATTATCAAATATATATTTAGTTTTCAAAATTTTTTTGATAATTAATATGTCATTAAAAAGGTTTTTAATCATTAATCTTTTATTAGATTTTAATAAATTATTAGCACAAAAAAATCATTTTTAAATGTTTAATTTAATTATGTATCTTGTTAAACTAATATTGTATTTTAAAAATTATGAAAAATATTTAAATTAACAACAAATAAATATATACAGTAAATACTTAAATTTTATTAATAATTAGATATATATTAGATTTGTATAATCAAAATATCTTAATATATAAAATGTATTTTTGTACAATTAAAAGAACATATTTGACTTTAATATTTAAATATGTCAAATCAATTATAATTAATAAAACTAGATTGCTCAATTTATTATTGTCTTACAGATATTGTTTTATTATAGTTTTCAATTATTTAGTTTGTTGCAATTTATAACTTTAAATTATAATTTTCAATTGTATTTTTATTAACAATTGTTATGTTATCAGTATTTATTAGAAGTTTATTACTTATAATTGTTTTTTATTATTTGATACGATAAATAAAATTTAGTTTCAAAACAACACATAGCATTAAAAAACATTAATCTAAAATATAAATATTCAAAAGTTTTTTATATCCAAACAAATATGATTTAATTATATACTCGTTTTATGCGCTTTGTTTTACAACAATTAAGTGGTCCTTAAGTTTTTTTTCTGGTGTCTTATCTCATTTGATGATCTATTATTTATGTGTCTGCTTATCATAAACTGTATATAAACATAAGCTTAATATCATTGAATATAATAATATTCATTATAATTAAATAGTGAACAGTCTATGGCCCAAACTATTATATTAGTATTTAATAAAAGCCCATATAATTTACTGTATTGTATTTGTATTTGCATTTGCAATACGTTGTCAGTCTATTAAATTTAACTCTTATTTAAAATCACTTTTTACAACAATAAATGAATGAATGAATTGAAAAGTTCATTGAGTTTATGTCTCTTATTAACTGTTATGATAAAAAAACATACAAAACAACACTACATTGAGATTATATATCAAAAAGGCATACACACTGAAGGCCTAATTGCCTCAATTTAATGCTAAAGTCATTGCTATATCTATCTATCAAATCAAATATATAGTAATAATTAATTTATATGTTATTTTTATTTTGTTTTTTAAAAATTCTATCAATATTTAAAACCAAAATTAGTTGTCAAATAAATTTAGTTTACGTTATTCAACAGTTTTATATACAATATATATCTATAGTTTTAAAAGATTTATAAAGAGTTTTTCTATAGTTTTTTTAAGTATTGATTAAATTAAATTTTTTATTTATTAAATCTTTAAACGTTGATTTTTTATTTTAATAAATTATCATAGTATATAATTTTAGTATTTTACTGCATAAAACATGGTTCATGTAATATCTATTATAATAGGGATATTGATAAATAAAATAATAGTATTGTATATAAAAAATAATTAAATTACTTTATTAATAATTTTACGATACAATCGTCTATTGAATCACGAAATTTTGATGAAGTATAGCATGAAATGTGTTAATTGAGTGAATGGTATTGAATTTTGTTTGAGAAATAGAGAATAGTTTTTAATATTAAAGGAGTGGTGTGTCTGTCGATAACCATTAATATAGTTATTATTTGTGAGAACTATAGACACGAATTGGCGTTTAATTGTTGTTCAAAATTGAATATCAAATGTGAATAATAATAATAAACTTTTTAAAAAGTGAATAATTTTTTAGGAAAGGGTTTAAAAATTAATAGGACAGGTGTTTGTAAATATAATTTTTTTATCTCACTATTTACTGTTTGTAGATTTAAACTTTATTTTTATAAATATAAAGTTAATAGTCATTTATGTATATAATTTTATCCATTAGTAGGAGTTTTACAAACATCGCTAACTGTATACCAATATTTATATAGATATACAAACGATAATCTGTTTTCTATGTTTGACTTAAATGTCTTTACTATTACTCTATTAGCCCACACAACTAAATCATGTTTAGCCCACACATTGACACAATAGAAACTTAATGCACACCTCAAGAAACTGACTGTTCAAAGCTAACGGTGCTCTTTCTGTAAACTAAAAGAGACAAAAAAGTGCACAAAAACTGTTTCAATAGTTCTGTTACCAAACATTGTCTACCTTTCCTTTTGTCTCATTATTTGAATTTATAGTCAAAAACAATTTGTTTCTAATTTATGTTTTATATTCACATCTCATTGTACGACAAATTAGGTCTATTGTCAAAGTCATGTGCCTAAGACAGGTCCGGGAAAGTTAGACGGATCATCGGTCGGCATCAAACAGGCCCTGAATGTGCCCAAAACCAATCATCTGGTCAACGAACAGATCAGAGGCTCCGGTAAGGCCACGTTGAACGCCGAATCAATCGGCATCAAGACTGCTCTCAACAATAGCAAACTGGCCAACGATAGCCATCATCGGGAAAACATGGCCGGACATTTCGATTCATCAGCACTTCATATACAACATGGACTCAATCAGACCCGACTACAGAAGGTCTACAAACATACGGGTGTCGAAAGTCGTATCAACGAATTTCTCGTAAGTTTTACATTCAATTTATTTTAGACTTTAAGAAAATTTTACTAAAAATCAATAAGAAATTATCGATTTTAGCTACAGGTGCGACAAAAAAAATCGCACTCTAAGCTAATATTTTTTGTGAGACATAACCCCAAAACTACTAAAAAGGAAAATATGGAGCGAATGAATGCACAGTTAGTTTAGAGAGAGAGTGGAAAAGGGAGAGAAAAAGTTTTGAAAACTTCTTTATAATGTCTATTATACTGTACTTTTGTAATACTAAAGTATAAACTTTATTATATTGTATAGTGAAGTACTTGAAGGCTATTCACTTGTTTTTGGCATTAATTCATGTGTTACATGAGTTATACTGTAAATGCTATGTTAAGGTTAGGTATGTATTGAATACAAAAATTTTCTGGAGATAACGGGCTTTGTTTTGGTAAATCAAACGCCGAAACAATATTTTTATTGTTATTTTCCAAATGTTTTTTTAATCAAAATATTATTATCTTATTTATTGATAATTATTTTATATGTAATTGAAATGTCATAATAATAGGACCACTATTAAGTATAAGTAGATATTTTGTTGTTGTTGTCAATTGTTTTTTAATTATTCTTAAAATATAATGATAATCATTAAAATCATTTATCACATATTAGTCAAATATATGCGAAACAAAATATATTTTTTCATAATGTTATATATAAATTAATTATTTATACATTTTAAATACATTTTAAATATATTTTTTTTTTGTTATTGTTTGTTATTAATTTACTGTTAAAAAAATTATTTATTTTTTACATATAATTTTATGGCATAGCACTTCTATTAATATTAAATTAGTGTTATTTTTATCGCCTAATCAATAACTTATTATAATAATAATAATAATATGGTGATAATAGTTATAATAAGTTATTTTTTATTAGCCCTATTGTCCTTTTTTTTACTAAACCAATGATTTAATGGATAGAAAAATCAAATTTAAATTATTGAAAGTAGTTATTAATTATATTTTTGTTATAACTAACTTAATTTAAAAACACTTTATAAATCATAACATAAAAATCGGGTTAAACAGAGGTTTTGTATGATTTTGCTCTATATTTTAATACAGGAGTGACTAACAGTGACTCTCAAAATAGATTTTTTATTTAATTTATTTATTAATTTGTTATATGATTTTTATTATGAATATTATTGACATTATTATTATTAATGAATTATACAGTATTTTGCTCTCAAATGACTTAATATTAATTACAGTGAATTTGAAAAAAGTGTTGAAATTATTATATTATATTAGATATTGCCTACAGATTATATGTCCTAGAAATACATTCAGTCATCATAAAATATATCAATTATATTAATATTTTTTATTTCATAAAATATCATTTTATATTTAGTTTGTTTTTTTAATTTTTCTAACATTATTATAAAATTTTAAATAAATTGTTTTTAGTTTTTTTATAATGAAATTTTTATATTATTTTTTAAAGACAAATTATAATTGGGATTTCTATATTAGGTTAGACCTAATTATAAGTCAAAATCATCAAACATATATGTATATCAATGCACTGATATCTATAATTGGTTTTTTTCAAAAATCATTTTCATCCTCAGAATTAATACATTAAGATTCAAATATTTATTTCCCACCCATTATTGAGAAGCAAACTATTTATATAAAGTATTATTTTTTATTGAAAATGTTTTTATAATGATATATCAAAAAACTAAAAATCTATTTTTATAAGTCATTTATTTGTATTTAACTTTTCAGTGACAAACTTTTATTTTAAAACTAAAATCGACCAAAAAAATTGAAACATTTATTATTATATACACATCAAACATGTTCTTAAACTGAGATAATTTTTTCATTGTTTTTAATAAATACAGATATTTATATAACATGTGAGAACATATTATTGTTTCAAACAAAATAAATTTATTTAAACTAAAAAAAGTCTTTAAAATAATCAATGAATGAATGAAAAAAAGTATTGTTTTTTTATAAAAGTTATTGAACTAAACTTTAGGTTTCTATCAAACATAAAAATTTGTATTTATAAAAACATTTTTAAAATATACAATACAGATATAAATAAATACAATAATATATTAGTCTATATTTTAATAAAAGGTTTATTTTCTATTTATAAAAAATTAAAGGCAAACTTTCCTTTCAAAACCTTAATATACCGTATATTAACAAATAAATCATTAATATAAAGTGATATGTTTTGATGTGCTATTGAAATGTGGCACAAATATAATATTATTGTGTATTTATATTTATAATAATTTCTATATATATGCTTATTTGGCTAAAATCCCACATTAATTTAGAGATTAAGGCAAATATTTAAATAAACGATTATTTAGTGAAGTAATTTTGTCAATAATTTTGACATAGTTTAACAAAACCATTACCATTAAGAAAATTAGTCTAAAAATACTGTAAATTTTATATAACATTAAATTATATAATGAATATTCTATAATATTAACTTTTAAAAAATAAATATCATAATTTTGTATATCAGTATTATTATTACGATTATTTTCACACTGTTATACTGTTATTTAATGTAAATTATTTCAACATCTATTTAACAAAATCTAGGTTTTTAGCTGTAATTTTATGTCATTTATGACAAGTTTTATTAACAAAACACCAAAGACTTGTTAAATAAATAACAGTTTAATTGTTTTGTTGTTTTCTTTTGTCGCAAAATTTTGTTATTTGATTGTTGTGTCAATTGGTAGGACATAAAGAGCCAAACTGTGTATTGTATGGCTTTTATGGTTATTGTCTTAATTTTTTTACATAATAAGACGTTTATATTATATCTATACATAACTAGAGCTCAACTCTATCAGTATATATATATACAGGTTGTCCTCTCAAGCCTTTGTATTGTTTGTTTGTTATGCCTTCCGGGTATCGTTAGTTTAGCTAACAATACACGCCAACAATTTAATTGATGGCAACGAGTGATATGACCATTAAAATGGTTTAATTTTTGGTGTCTGTGTCTCCCATCCATAACAAGACAGTAGATTTCAATATGATATTACATACTATATACATTATGTATATTATATGATACATGTATATATGTATATTATATACTGCTATATAAACATATCGTATATCAATATCGTGTCATACTTGACGACATTATATTTCAAACTCAATGTTATGCTTCCGTGTCTTTTAAATATGATATCTAATTCAGATTTATATTATATATATATTTAAAGACGTCAACGATTTCATTGTCACCACTATTTATGCACTCAAATGCATGTTTCGTATAAATTAAAACATAATAATGAATAGTATTTATTAAATATTATCATTAATTTTAAACACTTGAGTAATTTTCTCGGAAATGTTTTGTCTTATATTTTATTTTAGTTATTTAAATGCAGACATATTGTAGTTGTTTTTATATAGCAGTTATACTAAAAAAAACTTATGAATTATTTTATTAAGTTTTAAAGAAAATAAATATTGTAAATAATCGATTAAATTATTTTTTTTATTTAAATAATTTATTTACTTTTATCTATTAAATAACGATTCATTATTATATTTTTGTTGTGTTGATGAATTGATTTGCAATCTATCAAAACTCAACATATTTTGATAATATTACTTATTTTCTCATGAAATGTTTGATAACGCTATCACTGGTAACATATTATTCATATCTATATACTGTATAATACAGTATATTGTGAATATTTTTGGGTCCACTATATCATCAAATACTAGTTATCTTAATATTTTTTGTTATACGAAAGCCCGGTTGGTTATGCACTGGTAGTCATGCATATGTTATGTTGGGTATGAATCCCAAAGTAAGATGAATGACTTTTTTGAAGAAAATAATAAAAAATAATAATATCACATGAATTTTTCATTATGATTTTATTTGCAATTGACGTTTCTATATATTTTCTTATAAATTGTGAATTTATGTATTTTTTATAAAAAATATTATTAATTATATTTATTAATCTTATTCTAATAAACTAAATGTTTAAATAAATACAAACATTTTAAAAATTAGGTTTTTTATTTATTTTAAATTTACAATTGATTTTTCCTTATCTTATTTTTATCAGCATATTATTAAAACCAATGAATATAATTTTGACAAGATTTATGTTTTATAATAATTTTTGTATTAAATTTTAAATAATAACAATAAATTTATTTTTCAAATCTTAATTATTATAAAATAAAACAATAAACTTGATTAAGTGATTAAATTTAGTTGAGTAACTATAAAATTTTATAAATTTACAAAACAATGATAAATCATAAATATCAATAAAGAATAATTTTTTAAAATTTATTTAAAGCTCTTAATATTGGATTTAAATTATATTTTTGATTGACAGCACAGCTATTATATTGTAATATATTTTGATATATAATTTTTTAAAAGCCCGATCATTATTAAAAAAAAAGTTTTATGTCTAAACATAATTTATTTACAATAAAAGTATTAAACATTAATTTTAATTACATACATTATTTTTTATAATATATTATTATAAAATTTTTGCAATAAACTAGTATGAAAATATTTGTTTTAAATGTTTAAATGATTTTAGTTTACTTTTTATTTAATATATACTGAGTTTATTATACATTGTTTGCTCTTAAAAATGTATTCAATAATACTACAGTATTATGAAGAAAAAAACGATAAGACATTATGTATATGACAACTATATTATGCAAAAATAATTACAAAATCGTGTATTTTGTGAGAGGACTGGTTGGCTAACATTGTTTATGACTTTCCCTTATGTAATATTACAATTAATTTTATATATTTCTCTTGAATATCAATGAATTATAATAGATTTATTATTTTTTGTAATAAGATTTTCAGTATTACTTAAATAACCATAACTTAGTATATTTATGTTTATAATTATATTTTTTAAACAAAGTAATAAAAGTGGTAATATTTGTACTTTTTTTATTTAACATTAGATAATTATTACATAATTGTTTTATTTTTATTTGTCCAATATATTTATGTTATTATGAGTTTTTGTATTTGTTTAAATTATAATATTTGTAATTTCTTAATGATAACTAAATATAAATATACAATACTTGAAATAAATCATTATTTAAAATTAGCTTCAAATTTAATATGATAAATATTATTTAAATAAAGTTAGGTAAACATTTCTAAAATATTTATTAAAAAATTTATTTTTATCTCTTATTAAATTTATATAAATATAGTTTTCTTAAAATCTCTACTTTATGTCAAATGTTATATAAAAATAGAATTTTATTATTATTAAATAAATATAATAAATTACTATAATATGCATATAAAGTATCAAATATTTAATGTTTATGCTAGTTTATAAAAACAAAATAAACATATTTAAATTGTTGACTTAAATACAAAACAACTCAAAAATAGGGTACAACAAACTTTTTAACATTTTCATACTTATATTTAATATATTCCACACAAAAATTATCATTATAATAACAAACATATATATAAATACGTTTATAGCAATATGACACACGAGTTATTTAAAGTAATCATTTTAATATTGTATATACACTACAATGAAAAAATTACATTAAAGTTGATAAACTCATTAAATCAACAAAAGAATCTTAATATTGATTAAAGATATTATTATCATTATTATTGTCATTGAGTTTATTTTCATTTTGATGTTATTATTAGATATTATTTATGTTATGAATTTTACATAATCTTTAAATATGTATTAAGTTTGGAGTTTTTTATTCTAACAATTTATGCTTAATCTAAATGTATGTGAATTTATTTGATTGGAAGAGAAACTAAACTAAACATTAATTTGTCCTCAATTTTAGTGATGGAAACTTAGGATAAGAAAAGTGATAAATATTTTTATTTTATTGTATTTAATAATAACAAATTAAGGACAACTTATTTTGACATTTAAATTTATTTCAAATAATAATCAGATTTTTATTAATGTATTTTGAAATTTTTATAAATATTTTTGTTAAAAATAATAGGTTTTATAACATTTTTAATAAATAGTATTATAGATTAAATGTAAATGAGTTTTTAATGGTTGATATAGTTTAAATTTATATATAATAAATTTCACTATTGTTTTTTAAATAAAGATTTAATTAATCTTTATTATTAATCACATGTTTTGATTTAAATCATTTGAAATCAACAAATTATTTTAAAAATATGTTACTTCCTATTGTATTGAATGAAAAAATTTATTTTGATCAAAAATATGTATAACTTTTTACATCACAGTATAAATGTAATAAAATAAAATACAAAGTATTGGTCAGGTATGCAATTATAGTCAATCACTGACAACACTAATACTGTGATATTTGTTACTAAATGGCATTCAATTACAAATGATATTTTTCATTCAAATTTCTCACGCATTTCAATCTAAATTTTTATTGAATATTTTTGTTGTAATTTTGTTTTTCAAAAATCTATGTTAATTGTATACTAATATCAATATACAGTACTTCCTGTCCGTCCATTGATTTATAGTATAAAACATTTAATATTTTTTGATTATATGATTATTGTTATATTGTAGGACACAGAGACTCAGCGCACGCTTGAGATGAGACACCGACAAGAAGAGGATGACCTCTACAGAAATTTTTCAAAGAAAAGGGCCGAAGAAGAAAAGCATATCAATACTGAAATTCAGGTTTAAAATCAATAAATATATATATATATAATATTAATTATTTAGTGACACATCGTGTATCATATAAAATGTATTAAAATATTTATTATTTTTTGAATGGCATATACAGGAGGAATGGGAGAAAGAGTTAGAGCGGATAACATCTCGTTTTCAACACGAGTTGAACACCAAAAAGAAAAGGATAAGTAATGACGAGGAAAAAGCACTAACAGTTCGGCACCAAAAGGAAAGGGAGGATTTGGAGAAGAATATGACCGTTAAGTTGGACCGCAAAAAGGAGTCACTGACCAGAAAACTGTTGGAACAGGAAAGACAGGCCACCGCCGAACTGGTCGACAAACAGAGCAAAGAAATGATTAATTTGATTAGCGAAAAGTTCACTGAGTTCTCGCAGGTAATCCATTATCTGGTCGTTTCAAAAACAAATACCAGTGCAGTGCTCATCACTTTTTTATCAATTATTTAACACAACTTTTTAAATAAATTTTTTCTTTTTTTTCAACAAATTATTGTTTTTTTCAATAAATTATATGTTATTCTTTCAGACAAATGAAAGAAGTTATATGAATAGCGACGAGTCGTCAATAATGCCATACCCGAGCCAACCGCCACCTCCCAGTCCACCCGTCATATCAAAAATGGACATTTATTCTGATCCCAACGTTTTTGCAGAGCTGGATCAGATTGCTATTAATGTTAGTCATATATAATTTATATATATATATATATATATATATATATATTAAAATTAGTAAAAATATAATTAAAATATATGTATTGTAATGCACTGATAGGTGGCCAAAGAAGATCAGCACACGTTCACCGAATTGGTTCGTCTATTGATTGGCAGTTGTATTACTGATGTAGAGAAGGCCAGAGCTATATTCAGATGGATTACTGTTAAAAATTTGAATACAATTAAGTTTGACGACAATATCATTGCCGACACACCAATGGGTATACTCCGCGGCATAAAACACGGCACCGAAAGCTATCACGTGCTCTTTAAGAGGCTCTGTAGGCTAGTATTGAACACTCAATTAATGATTGGGTTTTAACACTTAAATAATTAGTCAAATGAATAAAGTGTTTTCACACGAAATCTCTTAATTATATTTTTCTTATATATATATTTGTTGCCAATGTCTTCAAATGACAATAAAACAGTCGCTTTTCTCTCCCCACTCCCGGAGTACACAACTATGCTTACCTTTCCTATGAAATCCATGGCCCACTTTCTCAACAATTCATTTGTTTTCATAATTTAAATAATGATAACCCACTTCCTATTCTACATTATATGACTTATTACCCGATAGTTTTAACATTGTTAAGCATCTGTTATTATACAATATCATAATATTAATTTAATTAAATTTATTTATACGACACGAAAATATGAAAAATGTGTGATAATTTACTTCAAGTATTGACCAATATGACCAATATACATTATACAGTATATATTTAATTAGATATTTTTATTAGTTATAGTAATTTTAAATAGATCTAATTAGATTTTATATTATTTAATTAAAATTTAATATTAAAAATAACAAAAAATAGGTATTATTTTTTACAATTTTAAACAAACAAAAAATATTTATTGCTTAACATTTTATTTAAATAAACTCTTAACTTACGGACTCTAAAATAATTCATTTCACATATATTACTGTAAATTAAATGTATGAAACTTTTAATTACTTGACAATTAATAATTAATTAAAAGAAAATTTTAATTATAGGATTACTATTTGTTTATTTCAATAATTTGTTGTTAATTTGAATGACAGAAAGCCTGACCCTCACTACATAATCAGTCAGTTACTTATTTAAACAAATATAACAAATGGTAACTTTGAAGACAATTTTAATAAACATTTAGTTATCAAAAAACAAAAGAGACCTTGTTTACAAAAAACTCAATCATAATTAAGATTAATTTTTAAGTATAATTATTTTAGTTATTATAGTTTTGCGACATTTATTGTTCATCTAATTATTACAGTGTGTTAGTGACCATATATTTTTATTATTATTATTATTATTATTATCTGTAATTTAAGTAAATTAGCGAAATGGATATGAACTTTGTATTGTGAAACTATTCATAGAAATTACCATAAATTAACATTTAATTTACTTTATTTAAATATTTTATTTTTTAACATTGAATATAATTAATTATTTTATTTATTTATTTTAAACATACAGTTACGCTGGTTTGCATTGTGTAGTTATTAAGGGATATTCAAAAAGTGCTGGATATCAGCCGGGAGTACGGTTTGAGGACAACCGTTTCAGAAACTCATGGAATGCCGTGTATGTTGCGGGCGCCTGGCGTTTCGTGCAATGCAATTGGGGGGCCAGACATCTGGTTAATGCCAAAGAGGTGCCTAAACCGGGAAGCAAAGGCAAATCCGATAGTTTGCGCTATGAATACGATGACCATTACTTCTTAACGGATCCCAAAGAGTTCATCTATGAGTTCTTTCCACTTCAACCCGAGTGGCAGCTCCTCAAGACTCCCATATCGATCAGTGAGTTTGAAGAGTTACCGTTTGTTAGATCATTATTTTTTCGATATGGACTCTACTTTACCGATGATGACTTGAGAGCAGTTTTATACACTAACGATTCGGGTGCGGCAACTGTGCGGATAGGAATGCCTACAAATATGACACCCAGTCTTATATTTCATTACAATCTCAAGTTTTACGATCGCGATAGCGATACATTTGATAGCATTGGACTCAAAAGATTTGTTATGCAGTCAGTAATGGGTAATATGGTGTCCTTCCGAGTGCACGCACCCTGTAGTGGATCTTTTATTATGGATATCTTTGCCAACGCCACAACACCTCGAGAGTACGTCACAGGAGAGCCCATGAAGTTTAAGAGTGTTTGCAAATTCAAGATTGATTGCGACGACTTGCAAACAGTTATGGTCCCATTACCTGACTGTGCCAGTGGTGAATGGGGTCCATTGAAGAGTACCCGTCTATTTGGACTGATCCCGTTGTCCCACGAAGAAGCCCTTATATTTGCCGACCGAACACTTGAAATACAGTTTCGTATGTCTCGACCATTAACTGATTTTATGGCTTCATTGCATAAGAATGGTATCGACGAGAAAAAGCTGTCAAAGTTTGTGTCCATTGATATTGAAGACGACATCGTTTCCATATTCATTAAGTTTCCTGAAGAGGGTCAGTACGGACTAGACGTCTATACTCGCGAAGTCAACACTGAATTATATTCCGGTGACAAACAATTGTTAACACATTGCTGTAAATATCTCATAAATGTGGGCACAAAAAGGATTCATCCCATCTGAATACACATCACTTAAATGTCTTATCTTTTGTCATTTATATTTCTATATATTATAATATATTAAATGTTGTTTTTAAATAAAATTTAAACATTAAAATTTTATTAATAATTTATATTATAAATAATTTGAGTTATGCTAGATATAACAATGTCTTTGTTGATGTATATAAAATTATAAATATGCAAATTTTAAGTATTATGCAATACTTGTAATAACTAACGATTAGGCAAATTGATTTGATTGATGTGTTTTTATTGTATTTTATAATAATTTGTTTATAAAAAAATCCATGTTTTGAAAATTATTGAATTGCATAATGTTTATATATCTTTAGTTATATTTTAATGACATGAATGTTATATAAATTTAATAATAATTATTTTTTGTTATTTTAATTTTTATTGAAATATAAATTTATTATATATTATTATTATTATATGTATTGATTTGATATATACAACTTTTATTAATATTTAAAAATAATAATTAGCAAAACATTTAATGAAAAACAATATAATTAAGCAAAAAAATTTATAGCTTAAAAATATTTTCAAATAATTAGTATTTTTATTATTTGTATACATGTAATACATGCCAGATGTCTTTTATTAAAAAATTAATTAATATTTGTTACTAAATAAGGTGAACGAGATATCAATAATATTTAAATAAAAATGTTTTTTACGAAAATATTTTTACTATGCCATTACTAACTTTACAATTATTATTGGTAATGAAAATATTTATTTTATAATACTGTATCAATATTGTTAATTAATAAATAATAGACAACACACCTATTACTTAACGATCCTAATTTATTATCAGTAGATATTTTTAGAGCATTAAAATATATAATAAAATACTAATTTTTTTAATATGATTCAAACAAACATTTATATTTAAAAATTATTTAAATTATTAAATTGCTAATATTTATTCAGTGTAGTATACTAATTAGTATTAAAGTAAATTATTAATAAATATTTTTATTGTAAATTAAATATAATTTTAAAAATTGCTATTTTAATTACATTTAAATTAATTCATAGCACTTTTATTAGTACTAAACATGTTTTAATTTTATAGATGTAAAAAATATTTGCCAAAATTTGTTTAGTAATTTTCAACTAATTTAATTAATATTTTCTTAAAAAAACAAATTTATGATATTCTAAAATTATCAAACTATATTTTATAACAAGCTATTAAATAACAAATTAATAATATAATTAAACATTAATATTATTAAATAATTATTTATAAAATAGCAAATAAGTATGTATTTGTTGATCCTCTGAAATATACATTTTTAGGTCCTACTAATCATTGTCCTTAACAACACTATCTATTTATTGACAACTATTCATATCTTTAAGGCAATGAATATAATAAACTAAAATTTTGTTTTTAAATTTATATTTAAACTTAATTTTTGTATTATATAATATACAGTACAGTATAATAATATTAGTATAGTATTACAACATAATGTAATTTTAAAGTGTTAATAATTTCAATTTTTAATTTTTTCAAATTTAAAAAGTTAAACTGGTTTTACTAATTTATATATATTATATAAATCTCTCTCTCTCTCTTTCTCTCTCTCTCTCAATTATTTAAACAAAACTTATTATAATATTAAAATATATTTTGTAAATATAGATTATAATAAATATGTAAATTTAACTTTTATTGATCTTAAAATAACAAATAAAAATATTTATTGATCTTATAGTGTTTATCAGCAAAAGGTTTGGTTAATATATGTTATGCTATTAGCATCTCAACTATCATTGAAAAAGTCAATGAGAAAGAATGAGAGAGAGAGAGAGAGAGAGAGAGAGAGAGAGAGAGAGAGAGAGAGAGAGAGATATTTTACATTAACTCACAAAAATACATTAATTGAGATATTATAGTATTATAAATACAGTTTAGTACTATACCTTCATTGATAATTCACACCAAAATGGTTTGTCATTGAAATGTATTTTGAAAAACAAGTATTTGATTCAATTCACGTACTATTTATTTGTCAGCAATTTTATTGAATAACAATAAGGGGTTTCATTAGTTGAGGTCAACATTTTATTTGGTCATATATTTTAAGAAAAGGATAAGAAAACAACAAAATATAAAAATTTATTTTCAGATTAAACTTGAAACTAATTTTTTAATTATTTTAATTTATTTAATTTTTCTTTGTATTAATCATTTAAATAAGTTATAATTTAGTTTATGAGATCTTTTAATAGTTAAGTTTATTTAATTCTCAGCTTTATTATCAAAAAATATTAATAGAGTTTATAATATTTATTTTTAACATACAGTATATGTTATATAATTTGTTTTATTATTTTTAAATTTTAATTTTGAATTTTAAAATATTATTTGAACTTAAAATATTTTGTTAATTTATTTTTAAGCAATGTTTAATCATGTAATTATCAGAAATATATAATTGTTTATAAAAATTGTAATAAATTCTAATAAATAAATATTATTAATATAATACAGTAGATAAATATTATGTTGAAATATCGTATCATTTAATTTCATAAATATGTTTGTATTGAAATACAATACTCTAGTTTCTAATTTGATTAAAAAATACCGATCATAACAAATAAGACATAAATTAAAAAATATTTGCCAACTTTTTCAATACTTTTTTTTAAATAAATATTTTGTAATTATATCGTGATATCATATACAGTATACAGAATCAGGTGATTCAACAGGTATTGTACTCGAGTAACACAAATATATATTTTTTGTGTTATACTGTATATATAAACCATATTTAACTACATATCATATAACTTTATATTTAGTAAAATGATTGATAAAGTAATTGGATTAAGAAATAGATTATTTACCTAATCATACAACGGCTCAACTATTTTGTAATAATATGACTTTTTTGCACAAATCCTTGAAATGCTACTTATATTGGAAATTATATAAATTATTTTTATTAAATGATAGCATATATCAAATCTAATTTTTCATTCCTATCTATGGTTTACTTTGTTTTTATGATTTTAATATCAATATATAAACTATTATGCATTCAATAAAGTCGCCTCATTTATATGAAAATAACATTTATTTATATTTAGATTTTACGTTTAATAGAATATTGTATTTAATTGAAATTTGTTTTTATTTTTAATTTTTTATTTGTAAATATTCCGATAATATCGTATCATAAGTCTAAGTATATCAATGATAGATAACTATTCATTTATTAAATTGACAAATATATATATATACTGTATATTTCAAGGAAATGTTAATCAAACAGATAAATACTCATTTAGTGTTCAAATAGACAGTAAATAAAAAAATTTGAATTCAATAAGTGAAGGCTTTTCTATTCATTGAATATCTAAATATATTTTTAATATTTGTTTTTTAAATAAATTTTAATAAACACTTAAACATATGTTATAACTTAATAAACTAACAAATTTACAATTTACAAATTTAAAATATTTTAGTTATTAGTCTCTGTTATTATTGATCTATTAATAAAATTTTATAAAAATATTTTTAAATTATTTATATTTGTGATATACAATTACAATTCAGGCATTTAAATTATTGCATAATAAAATATAATGCTGTTTATGTAGTCAACAATTTTTTTAATAACAGTCAACACAATCTTTATTAGATATCGTGAAAGTTACTAATAAATCCTTTAAACATAAGGTTATTAAAGCGATAACTTTTTAACACAATATAAAATTATTTTGCATTCAATTATTTTAATACATGTACTTTTTTTATCACTTTTTAGTATTTTATTTTAAATAATATATTATCTTTTTTCTCTATTCAAATGATATTTGTTTCAATGTATTGAAAACAAAATACTTGAGTATTATTTTGCTAATTAAATAAAAAACTTTTTTGAGTTAATTACTTTTATTATTATTATATTTTATAGCAAAACTACATTAAATTATTTTATATTATTATGTGACATATAAATAGAAAAACATGATAATAATAATAATAATGCTATAAATAATAATTTTTTTAGAAAAGATATAAACTATATAAACACAGTTATAAAATGAATAAATCTTATCATATTCTTATTATTATTATTATTATTAACATTTATATTTTTCTTGTTTATTGTTTTAATTTCAATGTCAATCTATTATTATAATTAGCTTTTTCAGTAAAAAAGAAAAAAAATCATTATTTACTTGTTTTGTTTGATATAATGCTATTGTTATCGAAAATATATCGATAAAATGTTGTTTTACTTTTTTATTCCTAAAAATAACTTTTTTATTATATGTTCAATTGTTACATATAATTTGGTATTAATTTTTTATAAAAGTCAACAAAATTTCATATTACTAATATATTATTAGCATACAATTGTATTATTTTATTTTATGTCTTATAAATATTTTTCATATATTGAGTTCATATTTGTATAAATAGTTTCTCTTATGATATTTAGGGGTTTTTATTTCTTTTTTTGTATATATCATAAAAGTATAAATTATATAATTTAAAAATTACATATTTATTTTCATTATTATAAATCAAATTTTATTTATGTTAATACTTATAACTAGAATTATTTTAAGGAAAATATTTTTATCTGTCATTTTAAATATTTTTCTTTATTTAAATTTGCATTAAAAGCTTTCAAATTTTTATTGATAATTAAATAATTAATTGAAATTAATTACTTATTACTTTAAAAATAAATTTTTAGTTATGTTTTTACATAACCGTTATTAGTAATTATTATTGTAATAAAATTATTAATTGGAGATTAAAACTATATATATATATATGTATTATTATTTAATTTTTATTTGTTATTATATTAAATAAAATAATAACTTTAAACTGTTTTACGGTTGTTGACATAAATGTATATTACAATTAATTTATAATTATTTTTTAAAAATAAAAAAAAATTATGTGTCGTTTGTTTTAACTATTATTGATTACTACTTTTGTTAT